GGGGAGCAGATAGATGGTGAAGTGGATAGAGCACTGGCCCTGAAGTCAGGAGGACCTGAGTTCAAATCCAGCCTTAGACCAAACACTTGACACTTACTAGCTGTGTGACCTTGGGCAAGTCACTTAACCCCAATTGCCTAAAAAAAAAATCATTTTGGTAGCTGAATAGAGAATGGATTGCAGTAGGGAAAAACTTGAGGCAAGCAGTCCATTATCATTTCTCTCTCCAGTTTTTCCTCTACTTCTCTTACTTGCTTCTCAAAATCCTTTTTGAGCTCTTCTGTGGCTTGAGATCAATTTATATTTTTCTTGGAGGCTTTGGATATAGGAGCTTTGACTTTGTTGTCTTCTTCTGGTTGTATGTTTTGGTCTTCTTTGTCACCAAAGTAAGATTCTATAGTCTGAGTTTTTTCTTCTGTTTGCTCATGTTCCTAGCCAATTACTTGAGTTTTAAACTCTTTGTTAAGGGTCTGCTTCTAGTGTGGAGAATGTAATGTCCCAAGCTTCAGGGGTTTTGTGCAGCTGTTTTCAGAGATATTTCTAGGGACCAGTAAATTTTCAGTTCTTCCAAGGTGGTATGATCAAAGGCGAGGTGTTAACTCCTTTTCTGGCTTGTGCTCTGCTCTATGAGTGACCACAAGCACTCTTTTCTTCCTTGGAACTGTGAGGAGGATTCCTTCTCCACCGCCACCACAAGTTCTACCACACCAGTGCTCCTCCTTACCCCAGGACCACCACCCAAAACTGCAACCCAGATCCAAGCACAGGAAAAGCAAGAGAATCCTGCCTCAGCACCAGCAAAGAGATCCCTACAATCCCCCTCTGATCAGCCACTCTATTCCCTCTCAGTCCGTGGGCCAAGAACTCCTAAAGCAGCCACTGCCCTGGGGCTATGCTGGGACTGGGGCCAGACTGAGCTCCTCTCTCACCGAGGTCCAACTGACCTTTCCTACTGACCTTCTAAGTTGTCTTTGGTGTTTGTGGGTTTAGAAGTCTGGAAACCACCACAGCTCCCCTTGATTCAAATCCCTGGAAGACCGTTCCAGGTTCTCTGAGGCCTGGTCTTTGCCTGTGTGATGCACATGGAACTGCGCTCCTCTCCCAGCCCACTGCAACAGACTTTTCCAATCAACCATCCAGGTTGTCTTGGGCTGGAAATTTGTTTCACTTTGTCTTTTTGTGGGTTCTGTTGCTCTAGAATTTGTTTAGAGCCATTTTTACAGGTATTTGGAGAGGTTTGGAAGAGAGCTCAAGCAGGTCACTGCTTTTATTCTGCCTTCTTGGCTCTGCCCCAAGGCAGGCAGTCCAACCAGATGGTTGGTGTGAGGTATCCAAGTGTGAGGTGATGAGGATCTGTACTGAGTGGTGACAGTATCAGAGGAGAGAAGGGGGCACATAAGAAAGATGTTGCAACAGATTGGATATGAGGTGTGAAAGAGAGTGAGGAGTTGAGGATGGTACCCTAGGCTAAGAGCCAATGGGATTGAGAGGGTGGTGGTGCCCTCAATAATAACAATAATATGGAAATTTGGGTGGGGGGGGTTTAAAGGGAAAGATAACAAGTTCAGTTTTAGACATGTTGAGTTGTCAACCAGATATCCTATCTGGGATGTCTGAAAAGCAATTGGAGATGTGAGACTGGAAGTCAGCATCATAAAGATGAGGCAGAACAGATAGAGCTGAAAAATCATCAGCATAAAAATAATAATTAAATCCATGGGAGCTGATGAGATTAACAAGTAAAGTAATATAGAAAGAGAAAAGAAGAGGGCTCAGGACAAAACCCTATGGGACACCCGTTATTAGTTGGCATAAACTGATGAAAATCCAGCAAAGGATAGAGAGAAGGCAGAAGGAAGACCAGGAGTCCCAAAAACCTAGAGAGAAAAGAGTATCTAGGAGAAGAGAGTGATCAACAGTGTCAAAGGCTACAAGAGGCCAAGAAGAATGAAGATTGAGAAAAGGCCATTGGATTTGGCAAAACAGAGATCATTGGTAACTTTGGACATGGCAGTTTCAGTGGAATGATGAAGTTGAAAGCCAGACTGTAAGGAATTAAGTTTGTCAATGATCTTCTTAAGGAGTTTAGCCACAAAGGGCACAAGGGAGATAAGATAGGGATAGAAGGAGCAAGCAAGGATTTTTGAAGGTGGGGAGAAATGAACATATTTGTAGGCAGTGGGAAAGGAGGCTGTAGATAGGGAGAGATTCAAGAAAAGTGAAAGAGTGGGCAAGACAAAGTGACAATCTGTTGGAGGGGGCAGGATGAAATATATGTAAAGCATTTTGCAAATTTTAAAGTGCTCTGCAAATGCCAATTATTTGTATTCTAGGGACATTTCCTACACATAAAATCCTGTCCTTGATGTTTGGATTTTCATTAGTTTTAAGCTTCTTCCTTATCCTTACAGATTCAGAAAATCTGAGTTGAAAGGGAACTTCCATGGTAGCCAATGAGCCTGATGTAGCACTCAGTAGAGTATTAGATTTGAATTCAGGAAGATGTAGGTTCAGATCCAAATCCAGACACTTACTGTATGACTTAGGGCAGATCACTTAACCTCTCTATGTCTCAGTTTCCTGATCTCTTAAAATGAGGATAATAAACACTTATCTCATAGGGTAGTTGTGAAGCTGGAAGATTAATGTATATAAAATGCTTTGAAACATTAAAACATTATATAAATATCAGCTATTAATATTATTCATTATTAATATTTCTCCCAGCCAATATCTCCTACTCAACATTCCTTACAAAGTGTCATTGCTAAGGTTGTCTGTACTTAGACTTTGAGCTCCCCTTTACTTTTGGAACTACACCACTTTGTCCTCAGAAGACATATCTCGAATTTCAAAAGAAGTTACTCATTACCTTTACCCAATGGGGTGACAAATTTTTTTTAAGTAAGCAGGGAATAAGGAGGCATGATGATGCAGTGAGGAGAGCACTGGATTTGGAGTCAAAGTACTTAGGTTCAAATCCTTTCTCCACTACTAATTGCAATCTTGGGCAGCCTTACCTCTCCGGTCCTCAATTTTCTCATCTATAAAAAGAATATATTGAACTAGAAGACCAATAAAATTCCTTCCAGCTCTCGATCTGTGGTTCTGTGGTCCACTCAGCCCAGTTTTGTAATGACTGAAACTTCAGTGATTACACACTTTGCTCAGAAGCACCATCACTTTTATACTTTCTCCTCATAACATAAACAGTAAGCCCCTTGCATTTTGTTGCGCCTTCCTCAATCAGTTTCTTCATCTGTAAACTGAGAGGGTTGGACTGGATGACCTTTTTGCTCCATACTAAGCTTGATCAGTACTTCCAATTTTGAGATTTTTCATAATGACCTCATTTGTTTCTTGTACCTTCCAGGAAATGAATTACAAAGCCCAGATCCCTTTTGGTTTTTTTCAAACATGAGGTAAGTGTGCTTTTGGCTTATTTGTCTCAAGCCTTGGTAAACTATAGCAGTGCAGATGGGTGGAAAGGCTTCTCTGAGAACAATCCAGAATTTTTTCATCCTGCAGTCATCCAACTGATGCTTTTCCAGTAAAACTTGATCTGCTCATTTTTCAAGTTACACAAAACTCTTCAAACTTAGCAATTCAATTTATTGAATTAGATTGAATTTGTTGAATTATTGTGACTATTTCCATAGAGGGAGTCAGCAAGGAAAGTGCACCTGACTGGGTTCTAGTTTGGCTTCTGCCTCCTGCTGCAGGTTGCCAGACTCTCGTCCTCTCTACACTTCAGTTTTCTTAGCTGTACAAGTGAGGTGAAGAAAGAAGAAAAGGGACTAGATTATTTCTAAGATCTCTTCCGGTGGGGGCCATGTGCAGGAATTTTGTTCTAATGAAGTAATTGCTTATGGAGCATATAAAAATAGAAGTGGAGTGAGAGAACTAGCAAGAAAAACGTGCAACTTTGACCTGGGCATGACCAAATGAGACCATGCCCTCAAATGCCCTGTGTAGATACAAACCTGCTTCTAACTCAAACATTGTACAATTACATGTTAATATTGCACAGTGAGCATGGATATTAATGGTACTAGTTGATGTCCCATTTCAACTAGATTTCTAGATACACTCCCATAATTCTTTTTATCCAAGTACTTATATCCATTTCCTCTGACCTTTGCCATCATTTTAATCTTATTCAATAGAAGCAGGCATGCCCTTTGTTTTTGTTAGTAATTTTGGAATTTTAGAGTTGGAAGGGATTTTAAACATAAATCTAAGCTGTCTGGAAGAGCTAGTACATTGTAGATGGAAAAAAAACAATAAAGCTAGAGTCAGAACACTTGACTTTGAGTTCCAGCTCTGGCATTTAATAGCTGTGTGATCTTGGGCAAGTTACTTCTCCCTTAGCCTCAGTATCCTCATCTGCAAAAGTACTTGCACTACCTATTTCATGAGGTTGTAAGAAACAACTTCAAAAACCATAAACACTATATAAATATGAATTGTTAGTAAGTATTAATTAAAAAATAATAAATATCTATTTTTTCATCAGTATTGTCTGCTCCAAAGACATTAGGTCCAGATTCTTTTTTTTTTGCTTCCCAAACTATCAACAGGATAATTCACCATTCAGATATGCCTAATTATTGTTATCAATTTGTTTACCAGTGGTCTGATAGAGAAGGAAGAACAGTATAAGCAAAGGCAGGAAGAGAAAAAACAATTCAAACTGGAAAAGAAGAAATTGGAGAAGATGGAAAAAATCAAGGAAGAGGAGAATGAAAAGAAACAGAATGAAGGAAGAGTGAAGAAAGAAAGAGAGAAAGAAGAGAGAGCAAAGAATGGGAGAGTAATGGGAGAGAAAGATACAGGAAAGATTGAAAAGCATAAAAAGGAAAAAGAAGAAAAAGCAAAGAAAGAAAAAATGCAAGAGAAGAAAGAAAGTTTAAAGAAAGAAAAACACAAAGAAGAGGAAGAGAGGATGAAAAAAGAAAAAAGCAAAGAAGAAAAAGAAGAAAAAAAGAAAAATATAGAAAACTCAGAAGAGGAAAGAGAAGACAAAAGGAAGATGATTGAGGCAGAGAGAATAGCTTTGCAAAAGCGACTCCAGCTGAAGGGAAGAATGAAAGGGATGAAGAACAGTGAGGTGTGGTGGCCCAAGGAGAAAAAGTTGATTGGGAAGATAGCAATTCAGAACTTTATACAACTTTTGCCAAGTTCCTCTACCATCCTCAAGAGCCCAGGTGCTATTCCTCTCCCCCCCACCTTCTCTATTTTACCTGACTGAGTCAGTATAAAGGGTGGGAGGGAAGAAGGAAAGGACAATGAATGGTACCGTGGAGGGCGCTGAACTGGGAAACAGGAGACCTGGGTTCTGGTCCCAACTCTGCAAATGACTAGTTGTTTGAATTTGGATAAGTCACTTACCCTTTTTAAACTTCAGTTTCCCCCCTCTGTCAAATGAGAGAGCTGGCCTAGATTTCTTAAGGTCCCTTCTACCCTTAATGTTGTATGAGCCTTCCCTACCCTTAGGTCGTCAAGAGATGAAATGACTTGAGGATATATTGTATAGGGAATTCTGCCTTCAGGTTTAATGAGCTCTTGAGTCCTTCTTAATTCTGAGATTTTGCAATTCTATCTAAAACCCTATGAATTCAATTTAATTAAATTGGAAGCACAGTTTCAGTTTGGAATAGTAATCTACCCTGGTCTACCCAGGTCTTGGAAAGAATCTATATTTCAGTTGTCTAGGAAAGAACTGTGCCACATTATTACTTCCAGCTCACTTTTGGTTTTCTAGTAAAGTACAAAAAGTGAAAGCTTTGTCATTATGCCTCTATTCCATGGTAATGAATAGATATGTCTTTCCTCTTTTGAAGCCACTCATTTGTGGTTGGCTTACTTCTCTATGAGTCCAATTTCTGAGTTCTGTAATAGATTCATTTGTTAGACTTCTGAAGGTTTATGAGGCCACTCTTTCTGGACTTCTACACTTATGTGTCTACGTGTCCACACCGGGCTATTTCCAACCCTTGTCCTGTTATCCAGTGACTGAACATGTGTGTCCCCTACAGTGTTGTTTTTAGGGAAGTGGGGATACCCCTGCCTCAGGATAAATCATACTATATACTATCATTCCATTCCTTGTCCCTCCTCCCCACCCCTACAACCCTTTCTATTCTAGTAAAATTCAGGTAAACAATTCTCCAGGGAAAAATTCATAAAGGAGAGGGTAGTGTAAAGCCTGAGAGAAGTTTGGGGGGAGAAGGAGGAAGGCCAGTTCAACTTCTTTACTAGGTTCATGGTAGGTGGGAATTAGGCTAAAGGGATACATATGAGCTTAAAATTCTTTCTAATAACATTTGGCTGTATCATCTAATAGAATCTCAGGGAACTCAGTGGGCATTTAATCCAGCTCATACCCCAAAAGAATCCCCACCATAACATACCCCCAAAGAGGTCATCCAACCTCTGGATGAAGACCACCAAGTGATCCAAACCCTCCTGAAGAGAGTCCATTGCATTTTTACATGGCTCTAATCATTAAAGGAGCTTTTAACTGACATCGAGCCTAAATTTGTCTCTTTATAATTACCACTTTGCCAGCCTTGCAGAAGGTTGTACCTTCTGAGACCAAACTGAAAAAGTCTAGTCTCTCCTCTCTTGCAACCCTTCAAATACTTGAAGATAGCTAACCACCTCGAGTCTTCTCTTCTCCAAGCTAAATATGCCCAGTCCCTATTCCAGTAAGACATGGATGAAAGGCACCATTTTTGTTGCCCTCTTCTGGACATTCATCAGCTTATCAATGTCCTTCTTAAACCGGTGCTCAGAGCTGAACTCAACAATCCAGACAAGGTGTGATAGGGGCAGGGTACTATCACCTCCCTATTTCTGGAAGTTCTGCTCTTTGAGGGCAGCCCAAAATTGAGTTAGCTTTTTTGGTTGCCACATCACACTGCTGAGTCATATTGAGTCTATCTATTAAAGTCCATATTGAATCCAAGGCATTAAAATTCCCAGGTCTTTTTTCAGAATGACTGCCACCTATCCGTGTCTCTGCCATTTCATACTTGGGAAATTGATTTTTTAAACCTAAGTAACATTTTACATTCATCAATATTGAATTTCATCTTATTAGATTTAGCCCAATGCTCTTGACTCTAAAGATCCTTTTTGTTCCCTAATTGTCATCCATTCTATTTGCTGTCCTTCCAATTCACAAACTGAATGAGTTTGTCATCTGTGCTTTTCTTTCTTCAAGTTACTGATCAAAATGATAAAAAGCTCAGTAGTATTCCACTAGAGAACTAGTGCCATGTTTGCAATCAACCATTAACCACTCATTACTCTTTGATCTGGTTATTTGATCAGTTCTGAATCCATCCAACTGTGTTCTTGTCTAATGTGGATGGCTCTCCATCTTCTCCACGAGAAAAGTATGAGACATTTTTTCAAAAGCTTTGCTAAAAGCTAGGTAAACTACATCCACAGCCACTAGTTTAGTAATCTTGTCAAGAAATGAAATGAGGTTAGTTTGGCATGACCTGTTCTAGATGAAGCCATGTTGATTCTTAGCAATCACTACTTCCCTTTGTGTGCCCAGCATCAGTTTTTTGATCCATTCTAAGATTTTCAATGGAATTTAAGTCAAGCTCACAGGCCTACAGTCTCTAGTCTTCTCTTCTGAAAATAAGGACAATGTTTACCTTTCTCTGCTCTTGTTTTTCCATGATCTTTCAGATATCACTGACAGTGGCCCAATAATCATACGCATCATTTATTCTAAAACTTAAGAATGTAGTTTATCTGGGCCAGGTGAATTGAATTCATTAAGCGAGTCAGATTCTCCCTTATTGTCTCTTTAGTTTTCTTGAGTATCATCTCCCTGTTTTAGTTATCCTTGTTTCTTTAATAGATAAGGATCATGAGATTGGATTTAGAGATGGAAGGAACCTTCGAAGTCATGAAAGCCAAACCCCTAATTTTGTAGATGAGGAAACTGGGGCCCATAGAGCATAAATTACTTACCTGAGGTCACATAGCTAAGTGAGTGTCTGAGGCAGGTTTTGAACTCAGGTCTTCCTGACCTCAAGTACAATACTACCCCTGCCCCACCCTTTTACATAGAAGGCAAACAAAACCAAGAGAAATTAAATGACTTGCTAAAAGTCAGATGGGGTGTTTGAGAGATTTCTCTCCAAATTTCCAGTCTTCTTATCAATATCTCCAGTTATAGGAGTGAAATAATACAGTACTTACTCTTTATTTTTACCTTTTAGACATAGAAGACCATGTCAACAGGCCAAAGAAGAGACATATGGACCTTCAGGAACATCTGAACCAGAAGTAAGATTTTTTTTTTCTCTGTTATCCACATTGTTGTATATTTGACTTAAGGCCACATATACATTTTGTATGTAACTATCAGGCATACTTGGAAAGTCATCTAGACTGGGAGTCTGGACACCTAGCTCTGCAAGTATCTATGTGATCTTGTCAAAGAACTTTACTTTTCTGAGCCTCAGTTTTCCATCTGTGAAACAAAAAACAAACCAAAAACCAGAGTTAGACTAGATGTGTTTTACTCTGTATTCTGGTTCACGTTAACATCTGCTTTGCCAGTGTACCCCAAGGGCCATGGACTTTTCCATCTGACCTGCAGCTGAAACCTGTGTGTGTTGTCTCCTCTCACGAGAATATGAGCTCCTTGAGATCAGAGTCTGTCTAACTTTTCTATTTGTATCCCCAGAGCTTAGGACATAGTAAATGCTTAATAAATCCTTCTGTTATACTTTGATATCTAAAACATCAGCCAGCAATTAAATCAAATAGGTTGTTTATTGTCATCTTATCTAGATAATTGTTAAGACTGTTTTTCGAGCTGATTGAAGTGATAAGCAAAATTAACATTTTACCAAATTCATGGACAATTCCTTCCTTTCCAAGATTCATGATTATCGTCCACCAAAATCATTCATTCAATAAACATTTAGCAAGTGCCTACAATGTATTTGGCAATGTTCTAGGCCTTGTAGGAAATACAAAGATTAGTTGGACAAGATCCTTGACTTTGCCTGGAATTTATTGGCTAATCATTGTGATAAGGTATCATAACTATAATATAAGACAGAATATAAGAAGTAGTCTAAAATGTACTAAGTGCTAGGGGAGCTGAAGGGGCAGATTACTTCTAGATAAGGATAAGAAATAGGGAAAAGTTCCATGGAGGAGGTCATAATTTAACTCCTTCAGGGATCATTAGGACTTTGGTAGGAAGGACAAAAAGCATTCCAGCTAGAAAAACTGACATAAGCAAGAATGGAGAATACGGAAAAGTTGGGGATGTATTGGGGTATGTTTCCATTCAACAAATGTTTTATTAAGTGCCCATTGTAAATCTCTAGTACTCTGCTAAGTGCTGGGGATTCGAAAATGAAAAGCAATACAGTTCCTGTTTGTAAAGAACATCTAACTTAGTAGAGGGGGATATATTCTAATAACTACAATACAAGTTTAAATATGATTAAGGGGATAGGCATAATTCAAACCCAGGTCTTCCTAACTTCAGGTTCAGGCCCCACTATGCCACCATGCTCCTTTATTTAGGCAAGGGTAAGCTAATGAATGTTTTGAGCACAGGAATGCTAGGATAGACCAGTGCACTAGGAACTGCACTAACTACTTAGGTAGTAGTCAGTGCAAGGATGGATAAGAAATAGGAAAGACTGGTGGCAAAGAAGTCATTGGAGGCTATTATTATAATAGTTCAGGTGAGAGGCGATTGGAGCCCAAAGCATGGTGGTAGTAATGGAGATAGTATAGATGGGTACTAAAGATATTAGCAAAGGTAAAATTGATAAGACTTGGCAACTGACTGGTTGTGGGTGATATAAGAGAAGGAAAAGTCAAGGATGATTTCAAGCCTGGGTAATTGGGAGAATGGTGGTGCCATCCACAGACATAGAGAAATTAGGAATAAGAGCAAATTTTGGGAGAAAGATGATGAGTGAACTTTGGACATGCTGAATTTGAGATGAGAGTCATCTAGGAGTTGACAGTTGGGAAAATGGGACCTGGATCTCAAGGAAGAGATTGAGCCTGGTGATACACATTGAGCAGTCATATAGAAGGGATCATTGAAGCCGTGGAAGTACATGTGCTGGATTTGGCATGGAAGAGAACAGTTTTAGAGAAGTTTCAGTATAGTGGGAAGGCAACCTGATGCCAGGGGAGTGAGGAGTTAGTGGCTGATTAAGAAATAGGGGCAGCAAATATAGAAGTTGACAATGAAGGAAAGGACAGAAAAAGAGGACAATAGGATGCAGGGGTAGCAGGGTGAAAACTTTTCTATTTTTTGTTTTTTGATTGAGTAGATCTTAGCATTCTCTAGAAAGGAAGGAACTAGGTAGGAGAAACAGAGATAAAAATAAAACAGAGAAAAGGAGAGACAGAGAGTAGTTAATATGTTGTAAGATGCCAAAGGAGTCAAGAGATTAGGATACACAGGTGCAGAGGTTAGCTTTGGAAATAAGGGTCATTTTGAGTCTTCTGAGACTCAAAAGAAAGAGGAGGAAACAATGAATGAAAAGGGTTAATACTATGAAAAAGGAGAGCTTCTCAGTGGGTCATCTGCCAAATGGTTGATGGGATTAGGGGTGGAGTTGGAGGTTTTGAGGAAAGGGGAGAGTTAGAATGACATGCGAAATGAGACAAAAGTAGATTGGGGACAAATCATGAAGGGCCTTACACGTTAGACTTACTATTTAAAGTGGGAATAAACTTTAGTGTTGACCTTATCACACAGACAAGTCAGGAGTCTTTGAACCAATTTGTTCATTTGTCCCACAGATTTGTGGGGCAGAAGGGGAAAGCAAATAGAAAGGAAAGAAAATGCAAGGGAAGAGGTAACGTCAGCAATTCAGAAGAGGAAGACCAAGCTGAGAAGAACAAAATTAAAAGAATAGACAAGAAACAGAAATTAGGGATTGTCAGAGTTCTAAGAAGGAGAAGCATTTGTTTCCAAAAGATGACACTTGGAGACCTGCACCCACTGTATACCCCACGCCCCTGCAGAATCTATCTGCTCACACTTGAAGGCACCCACACAGAGACAGCCACTATCACCAATGGTAACTCTTTTCCTTTTTAAACATTTCCTTTTTCATCCCTCTTTTTATTTCTGATCTGTTGGTTATAGAAAAAAGAACTAGAACTAATAGGTGAGAGTTATGAGAAAGGAGATTTTGCCTTAATATAAGGACGAAATTCCTAACAATTAGAGCTGTTGAACAATGGAAAATGTTGCTTTTAAGGTGGTAGAAACTCATCACTGAAAGCACTTAAAAAGGAGTTAGATGATTACTTTGTTGGATATGGAAATATCCAAGGATTTGTCAATAGATACTCCTACCAATCATACTTATCAGTGCGCAGAGACATTTTATTAACTGGTTTTATTATATGCTCAGAGCACAGATACTTTTTATCTAAATGACCACTGAGCACCAGATAGAATTTTTCGTAAGACTTACATAGTCTCTAGATTCATCATCAGAAAAAAAAAGGGGGGGGGAGAACAATTAGATTTGCAGCTGCCAAAAAAGAAAGGGAAAGATTTACATTTTAAAGATAATTTTATAAAATGTAATAGATGTGTGGTGAATGAATACATGAATGAATGACAGAATGAATTAGTACATGTGGAGTGAAGGAATGGAGAAAAAGGAGGTTTACATGTCAAAGATAACAGGAAGGGAAAAAAATTATATCAGGTCAAGTTATGAATTGCTCAACAAGCACTGAAATGAATTACTCTGGCATTTACAACTAGTAATGCTCATCATAAAGCTAGGCCAGAAATTCTTTTATCTTTAACCATCTAAATTATCTAACCATCTAAATGATCTAAATTAAATTATTGGAAGTCTCACCTAAATTCCACACTACAAGGAAAGCCTCAGCCACTTAAATGATTTTCCTTAAAAATAAAGTGGCCATACTAGAGCCAAATGGAAAGGAAATTAAAAACCCTTATGACACTGGGAATGGGATTTCTGCATTGAACTAGGGGTTGGACTAAGGACTTTTAGGACTAAGGACTAAGAATTCCTAATTTTGAGATTCTGTAAGCCTATGCCTCACTGCATTCCTAGAACAATATCCTGCTTTCATTCAGTCTCCCACATTCCCTCCATCCACTAGCTGTGTGACCATGGATCTATTTTACCTCTCTGGAACCAAATTTCTTCCTGTAAAATGTAAGATTAAGTGATCTCTAAAGTCCCTTTTCTAGCACTTATATATTCTATATATCCTTCAAAACTGTCTTTAAATGGTTTACTTGAATGGTTCAAATCAATTCTCACACATTTGGTCCATGTAGTGTCAAATAGCCAGTTTATTTTGCCCTCTGGTTGTTCAATTTCCTCCCTCAGTGTTTCTCATGAGTCTCCCACTCTACATGTTATTATACATGTAATTCATTCTGTTATTCATTCATATATTCATTCACCACATATTTTTAAATGCCTATGTGTTCTATATGCAAGACATTATGCTAGGAGACTTCCTTTCCTTCTTGCCTCACACTGTTTTTGTATAATTTGTAACTTAAATTAATAATAACATATATATATATGTATATATATATACATATATATACATAATATATATATACACACATATATATACATATATATATATAAAAAACTCTTCAAAATTTACCGTTTCTCTATAATGATCCTGTGAGGTATAGGGATTATAGATATTACTATCTCCCATTTTTACAGACAAGGAAACAGACTCAGAGAAGTTGTGACCCTGACATTTTAACTTTAATTAACTAACACCAAATCAACCAACAGATATTTATTATTCAAGTCCAGGGCTCTTTGATAAATAATTGTCCCCAGATTCAAAAGAAATCCTCAGATTTTTTGGTCCTTCAGAAAGGACTCAAGTTCCTCAATTCAAGGGGGGATTTCTTTCAAATTGGTATTTTTGTTCCTCACCATTGCATTCACCAGGCATATCCATCTCTTTGGAGGAGGACACAGGTATAGTTTTATTCTTCCTTTTGTCTTTCAGGAGATAGACAGTACAGTCTTGACTCAGAAGAGAGAGAGAAAGTCACTCTTGAAGGGAGGTAAGAGGTTTTATCTTTTTGTTGTTTTCCTGGATGTTAGATTTTGGTGGGACAAAGGAATTCTTAGAGAAAAGTGAAACTTCTCTTCCTAAAAGCTATTGTAGTCAATTTCTGTCCCTGCATATGCATTCTGTAGTCACAAATGTTGCTCCAAATCATCCCTTTCACAACAGGAACACTTGTGTCACCTTAGCTCAGGGATGATATATTTGGGAAGAGGAAGAGAGAAGAAAATGAAACCTCTGGGACAGAGACTACTCTGTCTTGAGGGATGAAGAAATAATGTCAATCTTAGTTAACCCCTGTCCCCAACATTACTTCTATTTGGGTAATAGGGTAGAAAAATTCTCAGGGTTCTTTTACTCTCTTTATCTAGACTGATGACACAGCTTGTGCAAAAGGGCGAGGTAAGTGGCATTCCCTTGAATACTAGTACCCTTCCATAATTCAGTGCCCTGTGTAAAGGAAATGCTTAATAAATATCTGTCCAATCAGATTAACCATCAAATAGGTACTTTTACCAATTAAGTATAGCGATAGAAGAGAGGTTTTTGGGGGTGGTAGAGGGCTGGTCCTGGGGTCAAGAAAAACAGAATTCAACTCTTCTCTCTCACTCAAGAGTGAGTCAAGTAACTCTCAGTGCCTCCAGGCAGTCCTCTAAATTGTAGCTGACTTGCAGATCACTAAAAGCAGCATGGACACTATGATAGGTCCAGACTGAAGGAAAAGGTAGCAGATTTGACATTGTGTATTATCCATCTCCCAGGATTGAAGGGAGGGTCAAATGAGAACAGAAATGCTTTTTAATCAAGTACCATGTAAGTGTGTTGTTGTTGTTGTTACAAATAATAATAGGTGTTCTTTTTGCTGATATTCTGAGGTAGGGGAATTTTTTTTCCTTATACAAGTTCTATGGAAAAACATTTAATTCAATTCAGTGAACATTCACTAGATGCCTACTTTGTGCTAAGTACTGGTGATATAAAAATAAAAAACAATGAAGTTCCTACCCTCAGGAAGCTTATAGTCTAGTTGGTAGATGAGTCATGCATACAAAGGTAGAATATGGTTAACTACACAAGAGAAATCAAATGTAGGGACTCGAGAGATGAGAGGAGGAAGTGAGGGATCACCTCCAGTTGGGAAGATGAGGAAAGGCTCTGTGGAGGAAATGGCAGCTAAGCTGGCTTGAAGGAAGAAAAGTGTTTCCACTAAGAGACTGTTCTGGGTAAGGGAGAGGGGAAGGAGGGGAAGGAGGAGAAGGAGGAAAGGAGACAGTGACCTGTAGGAACTTAAAGAGGCAAGAGAAAGCAGGACAAGCAGCAAATAACTCAATTTGGCTATAGCATGTAAAGGTAAGTAGTGTGAGTTCAGGTTGTAAAGATAATTTGGAGACATTGTAGGAGGTCTTGATTACCAAGCTAAGGAACATGTATTTCATTTCCTTGTCACTCACATGCTCCACAGGGAACAAACCCTGAAGGGTGGTTCTATACATCTACACTTGGATAGAAAGTAGACATTTTAGTTAGTAACCTAGATGGATTTTGATTGAAATTTTCACTTTCTGTCTAGATACCTGTTATCCAAGGGCAAAAAAACAAAAAACAAAAAACAAAAACCTTATGACTGAGCCAAGTATTTCTTATGATGAAATCTATCCTCCTATTCCTATTCTTCTCCAAATTCTTAATTTTCTTCTGTGACCCTCATAAAATGGTACTTCTGGCTTGCTCTCTCTTGCTTCCACCCTCATTATTAGTGTGATTGCTGATCTCACCTATACTTTCCTTTTTCATTTTCTTTTCCATATGTTTGTTTCTTATAACACTTTCACTCAACCCGAGAAACACCAAATCATACCAAACAAAGGTCCAAGCTTCCAAATATGTCGATTTATTAAGCAATGGATGCCAATTGCATAACAAATAGGGACCAGGTCTCCTCAGCTTGGCACTGAATCCCAAATACAGGGAAAGACAGATTTTTATGTGTTAAAAAACAATCAAATAAGACCAACTAATTAAAAGAAAACAATCAACAAGATACAAACCAGGATGCAAAATTAGGTAATATGATTTCTAATTGAAGGAAAGATTAGGGGCTTTCCAAGTTGGGAAGGGAGAAAAATGAGTTTTAGTTGAGTTGGGAAGGGTCAAGTGAGTTTCAAGGTCTTTCCTTTCCCAGAATTTGGAGATGCTGATTAATTGCATCACCCTGCTTTTATGAAACAATAGATGACTTATGCCATCTAGTTTCCTGTGAATGATTTGCAGAAAAATATCAAGACGGAGGATAATGCATGTTGTAGCACAAACTGGAGTTCATGAGAGAGAATCCAATTGGTTCTCTCCATCCTCACAGCAAACCAGCTCCATTTGTAACTGGCCTTCACTCCATATGTGATAATGTGTTATGGTACATGATGCTCTACAACCCACGTCAAGGTTCCTAGTCCTACTTTAGGCCCTTTGATTTCCCAGATACTTACCCAAAGGCCAGTGAACATATCCTACTTCCTGACCCCTATCCACATCCTGATGATGCCCTCTTGTCCCCACAGGGGCCCAGAGCCCTCTCCCCTAGAAGTGGGAGGCATTCCTAGGAAGCATAATCTCTGCTCAAAGAAAGTGTCCCAAAGTGTCTGATCTCCTGAGTAGAATCTATGTAAGTCTTCTTTTGCACCCCACTCTCAGGGGAACATACCTCAATCATTATGGAGAATTAAGACTCCATAGATGAGGTCTAGTTTCTGTATGACAGTCAGGAACCAAAAGGATCTTATTAGATCAGAACAATGGGCTGAGTCAAAGAGGGTACAACTCAATGGGGATAAATGTAAAGTCTTATACTTGGGTACAAACAATTAGCTTCACAAGTACAAACTGAGGAGGCATGATTAGGCAGCAATTTAAAGAGGATCTGGGACTTTCAGCTCAATATGAGTCAGCGGGGTGCTGGGGCAGTCATACCTGGACAGATCTAAGCTGCAGTAGTGTGCTTAGCTCTGGGTGCTACAGTTTAAGAAGGTCATTGATAAGCTGGAAAGTGTCCAGAGGAGGGTGACCAACATGGTGAGTCCTGCCATACTAGGGTGGGTTAAAAAAAAATTGGCCATATTTACCCTGGAAAAGAGAAGACATGATAGCTGTCTTCAAGTGTTTGAAGGACACTCGTGTGGAGAAAGAACTAGATTTGTTCTATTTGAACCCAAGAACAATGGGTAGAAGTTACAAAGAGGCAAATTTATGGAATAGTTCTTAGTGTCTTTGAGCTGACCTGATAAAGGGGAGTTTAAACTAGAGGAGAACTTGTAATTTTGCTCCCAAATGATAAAAATCCACCTTTCCCCAACCCTATGAAAAAAGCACTGGCCCAGGCTCACTGTAGTGAACCATGGTGTGAGTAAGTGTTGTTTTAGATAAATTTACCTCTTTTTTCCACATCTTTTGTTGTCCTGATTTAGTAATCTGTTTTTTTCCTTTTTGCTTTAGAAAACTACAATACAGGAGACATTCCCAAAAGTCAAAGGTAAATAAAGAATGAGAACCAGATGGCAAAGTACTCTTAACCTAAGAGAGTTATAGATGCCTGGATAAAGATTGTATTTGGGGTGGGGAGAAAGGAGAGTTTTTCTCTGGTCATGAGTACAGAAGATCATCACATTTCATTTTAATTTTGATGTTTTTGAATGCACATTTACAAAGCAGAAATCAAATAATCAACCAACAAACATTTATTAAGCACATATTATGTGTCAGGCACTGTACTAGGTAATAGAGATCCAAAGACAAAATTAAATAGTCTTTGCCCTCAAGATGCTTTGTACATTGTATAGGGGAAAAATAATTATGTGATATATATATGTGTGCCGGCCGCGCCGTGCACTCTCCTCCTATAAGGAGCAGGCTGCCAGAGTCATACTTACCAGTCTTCAGTGCCTACCCGGATAAACACACAGAGACGAGCCTACCAGGAGGTGCCAACACCCGAGCTTTATTCAGAGGCCATAACAGCAAGGCCAAGCAGGAAGGCCAGAGCAACAGAGCAGGAGCAAAGAGAGCGCGTGTTCCGACCACGACCGTTCCTTAAGTACCTACTTAGCCCCTCCTCCTCAGCCGGCCTACTAGTCAATGATTGTAGGGTCAGATACCGGAAGGGGATGTCTGAGTTTAGCGCACCAAGGGAGAGGAAGTGACGCAGGAGGCTAGGACCGGACACAGGAAGGAGGCGTCTGGGGTTGACGTTGCACTTAGGGAGGGGATTAAGCAAAGGGAACTCGTCCTCTGCTGTCCCGCTCCCACGTGGCACAGCCTCCTGCCTCAGGAGCACGTGCTCTGGCTACTTCCTTGTATTCTGTTCCTTCCTCAGCTTATCACAGCTCCACATAGCACTGCCCACTGCCTCAGGAGCGTGAGCTCCGGTTACTTCTCCGTATCCAGATCACCACAGCCCCTGCCTCTGGAGCGTGAGCTCTGGTTACTTCCTAATACCCAGTTCCTACCCCATCTTGCCACAATCCCTACTTGGCAGTAGCCAGCATCAGACAGTCCCTCACATATATGTGTGTGTGTGTGTGTGTATATATATATATACACACACACACACACACACACACACACACACACACACACATATATATACATATATATATATATACACACATATGTATACATATGTATATTACATACACACATATCTTTCCATAGTGTTGGGAAAGGTAGATTGAAAGTAAAGGCAGTGGGGTTGCTCTGGGAGTCATTAATTGTGGAATCCTATATGAGAGAAAAAAATCCAATATCCCTCCCTCCCAATTCAGCATTCCCGTTTGCAATGAACCTAACAGTTTAAGCCAAATTCAGTCTGTGCTTCAACATGCCCAGTATTAGGGAGCTCACTCTTCATAAAACAGTTCCTTCCCTTGTTAGATAATTCTGATTGTTAGAAAGTTTTACTTAATATAAACTGAAATCAGTCTCTATAATTTCCACTGCCTGGTCCTTGTTTTGACTTCAAGGGCTATATGGAATATGTGCTATCTCTCTTCCATATGGCATCCTATCAAATGACCCTGGAAAGGTAAATTTTGAGACAACACCAGTAATAGTGATTTGGAACTGACCTCTATGAGGTTGCTCTGAGGAGTCAACCTCAGATCACCTTGGAAAGCAGCTGTGGCAGAGTTGCCTCTGTGGTGCTGGTGGTAGGGTAGATGATGCTCCCAAGTCCTTTGGTAAAGAACCCATGTGAAGATGCTTATAGATTATGGCAGGTGTTTCTAGCATGCCCTTGTGGGTTCATTTCTCGGATTCCAAAATGGCTTTGCCAAATCATTCTTTTTTTTTAATTGATTTTTTTTGCAATTTTTAAAAATTTATTTATTTTTAGTTTTCAACATTCACTTCCATAAAATTTTGAGTTCCAAGTTTTCTCCCCATCTCTCCCTCCCCCACCCCAAGACAGTATGCAATTTGATATAGGCTCTACATATACATTCATATTGAGCCATTAGTCATGTTGTAAAGAAGAATTAGATCCAATGGGAGAAACCATGAGAAAGAAGAAACAAACAAAAAAAGGAACAGGAAAAAAAGAAAGAGAGCAAATAATATGCTTTGATCTGCATTCAGAAGCCATAGTTCTTTTTCCAGATGTGGACAACATTTTCCATCATGAGTCCTTTGGAGTTGTCTTAGATCCTTGCATTGCTAAGAAGAGATGAGTCTATCAAAGTTAGTCATCACATATTGTGGCTGTTAGTGTGTACAATGTTCTCCTGGTTCTGCTCACTTCACCCAGCATCAGTTCATGTAAATCTTTACAGGTTTTTCTGAAGTCTGCCTTCTCATCATTTCTTATAGCACAATAGTATTCAATTATATTCATGTATCACAACTTGTTTGGCCATTCCCCAATTGATGGGTGTCCCCTCGATTTCCAATTCTTTGCCACCACAAAAAGAGTTGCTATAAACATTTTTGTATATGTGGGTCCTTTTCCCATCTGTATGATCTCTTTGGGATGTAGACCTAGAAGTGGTATTGATGGGTCAAAGGGTATGCACATTTATATAGTCCACTGGGCATAGTTTCAAATTGCTCTCTAGAATGTTTGGATCAGTTCACAACTCCACCAACAATGTGTTAGTGTTCCAGTTTTCCCACATCTTCTCCAACATTTATCATTTTCCTGTTTTGTCATGTTAGCCAATCTGATAGGTGTAATGTGATACCTCAGAGTTGTTTTGATTTGCATTTCTCTACTCAATAGTGATTTAGGGCATCTTTCATACAATTATAGATAACTTTAACTTCTTCATCTGAAAACTGCCTATTCATATCCTTTGACCATTTATCATGGTGAATGACGGGTATTCTTATAAATTTGATTCAATTCTCTACATATTTTAGAAATGAGGTCTTTATCAGAGATATTGGTTATAAAAATTCTTTCCCAGTTTTCTGCTTCCCTCTTAATCTTGGTTACATTGGCTTCGTTTGTGTAAAACCTTTTCGATTTAATGTAATCAAAATTATCCATTTTGCATTTCATAATGTTCTCTATCTCTTGTTTGGTCATAAATTCTTCCATTCTTTATAAATTTGACAGATAAAATATTCCTTGCTCTCCCAGTTTGCTTATAGTGTTAGCATTTATATCTAAATCGTGTACCCATTTTGATTTTATTTTGGTATACAGTATAAGATGTTGGTCTATGCCTAGTTTCTGCCATACTATTTTCTAGTTTTCCCAGCAGCATTTGGTCCAATAGTGAGTTTTTATCCCAGAAGATGGAGTCTTTGGGTTTATCAAACAATAGATTTGTATAGTAGTTGACTACTGTGTCTTGTGTACCTAAGCTATTTCTTAGCAGCAAATCATTCTTTAGTGTCACCTCAATCAGACTGCCCTCCAGAGATTCTTCTCTTGAGTTCACCCTATTGGCCTTGTCCAAGTTGGTCTCTGAAGCAACCTTGATAGGTCTATCTCTGGAACAGGTCTCCAGAGTGAACTTGTGGACCTAAATCTACAATGATCCTCAAAGCACTTGATTGCTTTTGGCCAAAGGGCAAAAACTACCAGAACAGATATCATACTTCTTATTGTTGTTCAATCATTTCAGCAATGTCTGACTCTTCTGTGATCTCATTTAGGGTTTTCTTAGCAAAGATACTGGAGTGGTTTGCCATTTCTTTCTCCAGTTCATTTTAAGATGAGGAAACTGAGGCAAACAGGGTTAAATGACTTGCCCAGGGTCACATAGCTAGTGTCTGAGGCCAGATTTGAACCCTTGTATTCCTGATTCTAAATCCAGTGCTCTATCCACTGTACCACCTAGCTGCCCAGATATTAAACTATCTTCATAATAAATTCAGAACAGAACAGAATTAGAGTGAATTTCTATCCATGAAATTAAGTACCGTTCCCAAGTTGGCTGCATAAAAAGAATCATCATGCCAATATATCACTATGATGATTTAATACCTTGTGATCTGATTAAATAATTTGTGATCTGAATTTTGAAGCATTCAGGCCAAAAGAGCTTCTCTAAAAGTCACATTTAGTTCTGTGCCAGAGAGTAAGTAACTTGCCTTTTCTGGAATTATTCTTAAATGGCTGCTAGTTAAAATGACCTCTAAGAAATATTGGGTGGTGACATAGAGCCTGGCATATAGTAAGTGCTTAATAAATGTTTATTGATTAATTGATTGTATGTGGCTATGACTGTATTTGAAGTGTATATCAGGGAGGGTGGGCAGTTACGAGCTAACCTGGAGTACTGTAAAGAACACTGTCCTTGGAATTAAAAGAACTGAATTCAATTCCTGGCCTTGACACTTAACTAATGTTAACTGAGAAAGTTATTTTACCTCTCAGCCTCACTGTCCTCATCTGTGAAATAGGGACATTAATACCTGCCCTACTGGTCTCACAGGATTGTTGCAAGGAAGTATATTGTAAATTGTAACATGCTATAGAAATATAAATTACGTTATTATTGGTATTTTAGGGTTGAAGGCTATAACTCTGAAGGTTAGTAGGAAGGTCCAAAAAGGGTACCAGTTATGAACTGGAAAAGAAATTTAAGGGTGGATTTAGGTAAATTGGGTTTGAAGAAAACGTGAGGAGCTATCCTGAGACAGTGTGATGACTGACCACATGGTGGGTGTAGGTCCAGATATCAGGTAGCTAACAGCAGAGTTAGTTATCCTGAGAAGGTGGTTAGATTAGGGATATCTTAGGAGATGCATCTCATCCTCTGCATCTCAACTGTTCTGTATTATAGTTTCTTTTATTTTTACCCCCTTTTCCTATAATGGCTAGTAAAGTCCTTTGCAAAAATGCAATCTCTCTCTTAGGTGTACTAAGGGAAATAAAGGGGAGTACTCGCCCTTAGGCCTGGAAGATTGGTGGCAGTAGTGGGGACATATAGATCCAATGACTTAGGGATGCTGGTTAGTAAATATTGAGTTATTGTAACTATTATTATAATTATAGAAAAGAAAAGCAGAAAATCCTAAGTGGGCTTGTAGCTACAAGGCTCAGTCCCCTGGGTTCTGCTTGGGGTATGGGGAAAAGAATGGAGAGGAGAAAGGGGGCACTTTCTCACAGTAGCTACAAAACTAGTCCTCTTGTTTCTACAGCTAGGTATATATAGCATCACACAGATCTGACAGTTGATTCTCAGGTGGTTCTTTCTATTATTACTTTGCAGGCATAGGCTGTATTGAAAGCAACTTGGCATTCCAAAATCACAGCTTTGGGTTCCAGGGCCAGTGAAATACTGTACCAGAGGTGGTGGTTAATCTTCTTGCTTGGCAAACCAGGTAGAAAGAGTATATACTAGAGGGGGGAAATGGTCAGACCAATTTTTAGATCTGCACGGTTTAAATGCTTCTATTTGAAAGAAAGAAGAGGAAGAACCATAGGATTTGGGCAGGACTTATCTCAATATCTTGGAAAATCTAATCAGAGAATTGGGGAGGAATGGTTTCATTCACTTTCACACTTAATTTGGATATATTCTAATCTAGACATAACCACAGGCTGATCCCAAGTCGCCTTGTAAATAACAGAAACTCCTATTTTACAACCCCTTTTTAGACCAGATCTGGGAGTCCATTTGGTATAGGAAACTTACCCAGTCATATACACAATCAGTATTTGGCAGAAGGAAGACTTGACCTTGGCCTTCTTGACTCTTAGGCCAGCTTTAGGTGGTGAAGTAGATAGAAAGTTGGACTTTGAATTCAAGGCTGCTAGCCTTGAATTAAAATATGACCTTAGATGTATACCAGCTGTGTGCCCCTGGGCAAATCACTGAACCTCTTTCTGCCTTAGTTTTCTCATCTATAAAATAGGGGTAATAATAATAGCACCTACTTTACAGGTGAGGATAAAATGAGATAATATTTGCAAAGGGCTTTACAAACTTTAATATTGGGCCTTGGAGTGAGGAGGACCTGAGTTCAAATCTGGATTCAGACACTTGACACTTACTAGCTGTGTGAATCAGGGCAAGTCACTTAACCCTGGTTGCCTCACCAAAAAGCAGAAAAAATATATATTATTATTCTACACCATAATTATCTTTCAGCATGCCATCATAGTACTTATCTTTCAAAACACTTTCTTTACAACAATCCTATAAGGTGGGTAGGGCAAATATTATTATCCTCAATTTACAAATGAGTAAGTTGAGACACAGAGTGAATAAGTGATTGGATTATGGTTACGTAGCTAGTAAGTATCAGAGCTGGGACTTGTGACTCTCAAATCCAATTTTCTTCCTGCTGTACCACATTAAATACATTGATACTTATATAATGTTTTACATGTATCATCTTATTTGATCCTCACAACAGCTCTTTGAAGTAGGTAGTATAAATATTATTATTCCCCAATTTTACAGATGAGGAAACTGAGGCTCAGAAAGTCAAAATGACTTGCTCAAGGTCACACAGTGCTAAGATGTAAACCTAGGTCTTGTGACTCTAAATTCACTGTTCTATGAACTATATCATGTTCTTCTACCTTCTACAAGAAGCCTTCCCTAACCTCTCTTAATTCCAGGATTTTCCCTCTTATTTCCTGTTTATCCTGTATATAGCTTACTTGGTATATATTTGTTTATATGTTGTCTCCCCCAATAGATTACAAACTCTTTGAGGGCAGGGATTGTCTTTTGTTTCTTTTTGTATCCCCAGTACTTAACACAATGCCTGGCACATAGTAGACACTTAATAAATGTTTATTGATTGATTGAAGAAAGTAAAGTATGGGAATGCACAGGGCAGACAGAAACTTCTGGATTTGTTTTGTAATAATTAGAGCTAAGACCCTGTCATTGGGAACAGCAATGAGAACAAATGTGGCAATTTCTAACACTTGGTCTTAACCTTTGATCTTCTTTCTGGACGTAACATTAATGTAGTATTAAATACATTTAGAGATGACCCCTGTAAGTTGTTATGATGATATGGACAATGAAGCCTAGCAGAAATCTGACTTCTGGAAGGCCTTGTCAAAGTTATTTTCATGGAGTTGTTATGGGTCAGAGTCAGATCTATGGTGACTCTTCCAAGAGTGTTTCTGAATAGTCCCATTAAGAGGTTGCTCATAGGGGTTGTTTCTAGAGTGCCTGAGAGTCACATTTATTATTGATGAGGAGTTGTGGCTTTTATCGCCATTGTAATGCTTGAAAGCTTTTCCTGTCCACTGTCACTATTTCACTGTGCTATCAGCTGAAACTTTCCACTCATATCAACACTGTAAAACTGATTGACCTCTCCAGGAGGTCAAAAAACTCTATGGGAGTTTTCCTAAACTAAGTTCAATGGCTCACAATAGCCAGTCTACTTTAATTTCCTTAGTGGAAGGCATTAGAAAGTAGTTAAAAGACCTAGGTTCAATATTTATTGGCTATGTGACTTAAGACCTCTGAGTTTCAGTTTCTTAATCTGTAAAATAGTGATATCTTCTCTGCCTGCCTCACAGAGTTGACTCAAATGAAATATACGTATCAAAGGGCTTTGAAAACTACAAAATATATAAATAAGGTTATTTGACTCAGTGTTTTATTCCAAATATAGAAATGACTCTGAGTGTTCCAAATCGTTTCCATGGATGTTGGATTATCTGTCAAGAAGGAAAGAACCTGAATACATTCAAAAAGCTACAGGCCACATATCAACAGCAACTCCTAAAGCAGAGAGAACTTACACCTGATGGGGAGAGTACTGACCCTAAGATCTGGAAAGGGTCAACCAAGACAACAGCAATAGTTTCAAAGTAAGTGAATGTGGTATGGTGGAAAGAACACTGAGTTTGCATCCAGGAGACTGAGATTCACATCCATCTCTTCCCCTTGTTGGCCAAGTGACCTTAGGCAAGTCATGTCTTAGCTTCTTCATTTGTAAAAGGAGGGAGTTTGGCTAGATATCTCTAATGTCCCTTCCAGCTCTCAATCTATGAGACTCTCTCTGGGTTTTCATGACATGAACTTCCCTTGAATCTCCTCTGGCTGCTCTTCAGTCACCCTTGCTGGAGCATTGTCCATGGTCTGCTCCCTAACTATAGTTGTGCAATACGAGGCTTTGTCCTTGTTTCTCTCCTCTTTCCCTACACCCACTCTCTCAGTGATCTCATCAGCTCTGAAAGATTCAGTTATCTCTCTATGCAGATGACTCCAAGATATATATATATATATATATATGGCTTTAGTCTAGTCTCTCCTGAGTTCCTGTACCATATCACCTACTACCTATTGGACACTCATTTCTTACTCAAACTCAACATATCCAAAACAGAACTTAACTTTCCTCCTAGACCCATCCCTTTCTCTAACTTCTATGTTGAGGGCAGGATCATTCTTTCAGTCATTTGGTTTCACAACTCTGGCATTATCCTATATGCCTTCCCTCTCCCTCACCCCCATATATATTATCAGTTGTTTCTTATCACATCCACCTCTACATTTCTCGGATTCATCTGCTACTTTCCAATCACATGGCCATGCCCTGATTCAGACCCTCATCTCTTATCACTGGGACTATTTTGATAGTCTCTTAATTGGTCTCCCTTCCTTCCCCTCCCTAGGTTTTTCCTTTTCCAATTCATGCCCGTGACTTCACTGAAATCACTTTAACAATCATTCATCCAAAAATCACTCATTAAATATCTCCTATGTTCAATACACTATGCTTTGGCATTGGGGTAAAAATGAAGGAAGAAAGCTTTTAAGCATTTTAGAAGCTCAAGCAGTTCTGACATTTAACTCCAACCCTATGAAAATGGAAAATATAATCCCATCCATAGAGAGTAATTTAAAGAGATTCCTGGAATCCTCATTAAGTCATAGATGTGACTTTGGCTATGATACCAACATTGAAATGAAAAATGAGGAATTCAGTCAATCCCCCAAATAGTTCAAGATACTCAGGTGTTTTGGCATCATGGAGACATGGATGATGCAAGAAGTTAAGTTGATATTATCTGAAAAATTGTGTTTTCCATTGACAGTTCTATTTTGCTTTGTTGTGGCCTGGGGTGGGAGTGGGGGTAGGGATTAAGATTCTCAAAGGCTGTATCAGTAAAGTGCAAACTCTGTCAGGTAGTTTCTTCCAAGCTGGAAAAGTTTCAAGAATGGGCCTTAGAAGACTGACAAAACATTGAGTTACTTCAGTTCAGTCACTTGCAGTCTGCTGCCTTACCTTCTCTGGAGCTTTCTCCCTCAATAATTTCCTCTATTTCTCTCACCTTCAAACTCTCCTTCAGATATCTCCCAGTGGTGCCTTACCAGCTCTTATCCATATATGCCTCGGTCTTGCTCAAACATAAAAAGTCTTTCCTTAACTACCATCTCTTTAAGCTACCATTTTATATCTTTTTTTTTTAAACCTTTCACAGTCAAACACATAGAAGGGATATCCATACTCATTGCGTCTACTTCCTTACCATATATTCACTTCTCAATCCCTTGAAATATCAATGCCAAAACATTCAATATTTGGAAATAACAACATATAAACCACAAGCAAGAAATATTTTTCATTCATTTCAACTCAAATTAATTTAACAAATATTTACTGAACTCCTACTATGTGTTACATAGTGTACTCAGGGAGATAGTTAAGTAAAACATTAATCTATCCCTACCTTCAAGGAACTTCTAGTAATATTATGTTCTAGGAAACTGTGTACTAATTCTAGTAATACTATGGCTTAGGGAAAAACTCATACTCCTGGGATTACCCTTTTAGTCCAGAGGTTGTCCCGGTTTTGTCCAATAATAATCAGTGAAGACTCAGGTAACTCATCTTATCCCCTAGTCTCATCCCCTAGATAAGAATTTGGAATTCTGCCAAAATCTACCTAGAGAACATGCCATTGACCTCCAGCTCAGACTTGGAGAAGTTCCTTTGAGGCCATGCCAACCCATCCCTAGATTTTGGTAATGGCTTCAAAGAATTTCACTTAACAATAGAGCTCTCTTGTTCATCAAGAAACAACTTTCCCCTGCTTTGCCAGCATTTCTGACTACTGAGCTTTACTCCTCTTTGAGTCTGTCTACCCTGTGAGCTGCTGCTCCCATACCTGCCCCATGCTTTTTGGAATTTTCATTGTGAACCCTGGCTCAATCTACCAGAATCATCATCCAATAACGGGTTCTGCTTTCATTCACCAACTCCTGTCCTTTGGCACCATCTACTGGCTAAATTCTGTCTACTGAATGAGCCTTCCCTAGACCTTAGATTTAAACACACGTAACAGTATTATTTTCGTGTGAGGAATTAGGAGCTGATATCAATCAGATTGGTTCTGACTGATTGCATCATGACTTACTTTAATTCTGGCACACTATATGTAGGTCCTTGAAAGTATGAGCACCGTGGACAGCTGTGGATACTCTCGTGCTACAGTGATGACCCAAGCAAAGGAATCCCAGCCCCCTAAACCATAGGCACCTCAGACTTTACTGGTATTTCCCTTGCACTCATTCCACTCATCCTAACCAGAATCTTCACTCACTATCATGTATGTGTGACATATTAGCCAAGATACCCTAGTCCTGTTTCATTTGGTTCCCCTAAAAACTTTTCAGAATTATCATTGTGATTAGTCATTATTTATTTATTTATTTGTTTTGGGTTTTTTTAGGCAATTAGGGTTAAGTGACTTGCCCAGGGTCACACAGCTAGTAAGTGTCAAGTATTTGGTCTGAGGCCAGACTTCCTCCTGATTTCAGGGCTGGTGCTCTATCCGCTGCGCCACCTAGCTGCCCCTCATTATTTATTTTTTTAAAAGAAGTTTTATTGATACCTCTTTTAACATCACAGTTATTTCTTGTAACAAAGAAAACAACTGAGTAGAAACTGAGGGTAACATCATGTAACAATGTATGTGATCTCCTATATTTTCCTGCCTCTCTGTTGACAGAAAGAAGGAATGTTTCATTTGGGAACAAGTGTGGTTTTTACAGTTACTCAGAGTCCAGTTTCTTTTGACTATTCTTTTCATTTTCATCATGTGCATTATTCTTTTGGCTCTGCACAAGGCAACTTCAACCTCTTGCTGCCAGTTCAGTCTCTGAACTGCAATGTGAAGAGCCGCTGGTACAAAGAGCAGTTCTTTCCCTTTCACCTCAGGCCTGCCATCTGCTGCTGCATCTGTCCCTTGAAGGAAGAGAATAGTGTAAGAGTTGGTAGGGAACAGGACTTCTCTCTCCTGCTGCGTAGGTTCAACTTTAACCTCCTGCTGTGCCCTTCTCCTGCCTAAGCTTCACTCTTTGGAAGAAAGAGGAATAGTGATGTAGGGTCTCTCATCTGACTGTGACCCTTCCATCTCATGCTGTACTTGCAGTCCCTTCTTGAGAAGAGTGGTATTCTCCATTCAGTGATAAATATTCTCACTCCCAGTGATTTGAACCCCTCCAGATCATCACCCAAATACCACCCTTCACCTCCATTGCTTGAGTCCTTATTACCATCCCCCTTATGCCTCCCATGCTAAAGTTTCAACCAAATACTTCTACTTCTAGAACCTTCTACTGTACCCTCTGGAATGTCTGTTCCATAGGCGACAAACTTCCCTTCATCCTGTCTTTTCTTCTCCCATTCCTTCCATCTACTAGCTATTACTGAAACCTGGCTCCCCCCAGATGACACAGCTCTCTTGCCACCCTTTCCAGTACTTACTGCACCTTCACTCATTCTCCTCCATTCACTGGTTAAAGTGGGGGAGTTGTAAAACTCCTTGCTCCCTATTGCCACTTCTAGGTTCTCCTCCTACCTCCATTTCTCAACAATCTCTTCTCTTTTGAACTTCATATCTACTACCTAATCACAATCCTGGTAACTGTTGTCTACAAACTGTGAAGTTTGGATTCAGTCAAAGGGCCACACTTGAGGACCTAGAGGGCCACATGTGATGTCAAGGCCGAAGGTTCTCCACCCCCCATGCCACAATTCCCCGCTACCCCCCCCAGCCACTCTTTCCTCTTTTCCCTGTCCTGACCCCTTTGGTGAACCAATTCAACTCTGTCCTTCTGTCTTGAATCCCTACTCCCTTACCATTTTATCGATTATGCCCTGCCATGCCACAGCCTTGGATCACTTCTACCATTTGTTGACTTTGCTCCTGAGAAAAACTCTCATTTGATCCTTCCATTGCCAAAAACTATCATCCTATATCTCTTCTACCTTTTATAGCTAAATTCCTCGAGGCCATCTACATTAAGTGCCTCTACTTTCACTTTCTCACTCTCTTCTTAACACTTTACAATCTGGCTTTCTAACCTATCATTCCACTGAAACTCCTCTCTCCAAAGTTACAATGATCCCTTAGTTGCCAAATCCAACGGCCTTTTCTCAATCTTCATTCTCCTTGACTCTCTGCAGCTCTTGGCACTGTTGATCATATTCTTCTCCTTGATGCTCTTGTGTACCTAGGTTTTTGGGACACCACTCTTTCCTATTTCTCCTGTCTATCTAACCACTGCTTCTCAGTCTCTTTTGCTGGATCCTCATTCAGATGATGCCCTCTAACCAAGATGTCCAGTAGTGTTCTGTCCATGGCCCTCTTCTCTCTATATACCTCTTCATTTGGTGATCTCATCAGCTCCCATGGATTTAATTACTATCTCTATGCTAAGATTCACAAATCTTGTCTATCCTGCCCCAATCTTTCTTCTGACCTCCAATCTCATATTCCTAACTACTTTTTAGACACCTTGAACCATAAACATCTTAGACTAAACATTAGTCTACAATTAAGAACTCATTATCTATCCCCCCTCCCCGGAATTATTCCCCTTCTTACTTTCCCAATTAATGTAGAAGGCAACACCGTCTTCCCAGTCCCTCAGGCTCACAAATCATCCAAAGTCATCCAAATTTCTCACTATCTCTAACCTCCCCCCCCCAACATCCAATCTATTGCCAAAACCTGTCAATTTTACCCATATCTCTTGGATGTGCTCCTTTCTCTCTTCTACCATTGTCACCACTCTAGGGCAGGCCCTCTTTACCTCACACCTGGATAATTGTAGTAGTGGGCTGGGGAGCCTCAAGGCTCTCCCCACTCCAGTTTATCCTCCATTCAGCTACCAAATGCTCTGTGCTAGATTATAAACTCCTTGAAGGCAGGGGCTGTGTCTTAACTATCTTTCTATGTTCCTTCCCCAATATCTTGTCAAAGTAAGTGTTTTAATAAGTCATTGAATGATTATCCAGAATGAATGAGTTATCTAGAAAAAAATACACATTAAATGTCCACTATGTACAAAGAATGAAGCATATATTAAGCAACCATCATGTGTAAGGAATTGAATTAAGCACAAATTATACAAAAATAAGTTGATCATCTTATTGATAGTGTTGTCTGGATTCGTTCCCCAATTATAAGCATTTTCTTATTTTGTTGTAAGCATTGTAAGCATATGTAACCTCCTGTTAGCCCATCCCAGGGATTGATTCAGAGCTCCTTGTAATAAATAGATTGTTTTGTTCTTCTAACTTCTAAGTTCCTTAATCTACTTGACTCCTATGACCACACTCTCTCATAATCTCTTCTAAACCCTCTGCAATCTGGCTGCTGACCTCATTATTCAGACATATAAACCCCTGTTTAGCATTTATGCTTCTTTACAACCTGACCCCTTCCTGCCTTCCCAGTCTTCTTATACTTTAAAATGCATTCCATGTATTCTACAATCCAGCTATGGTCTATTTGCTGTTCCTCACAAGTGAAACTTTATCTCCCATCTCTGTGCTTTTGCACTGGCTGTCTCTCATCTTGGACTGCCTGCCCCCTCACCTCTACCCACCATCTTTCCTGTATTCTACCTCTAAATCTGTGATTCTATGATTCCAGATTGGTTGGGCACATTAATCTTATTTAAAAGGATGGCACTGCTCCAATCCATAACCAGAAGTTGTATTTTTTGAAGGAGTTGCCCAGGGACATATAGCTAGTAGGAGGTAATGGAGATGGGATGGAAATTCAGGTCTTCTGTCCTCTACTACAATACTCTTAAATTCACATGTATTAGACATGCATTAAATGAAATATTCTTGCTCCTTTCTCTCCCCCCACCCCAATCAGAACTTCTGGCCTTGTGGCCATCATCATCTCACCCATACACTTTACATCCTCAACCTTTACTACTCTGACCTGGCTCCATGGAGACAGTGGCAACTTCAGCAGGATAGTAATGGGGCTTGAAGAGTAGATCCAGGGTTAGTGCCAGGGCTTGAAAATAGAAATACTGGCTGTTCCTTAATCCTCCTGATTTCTCTAGGGGGGTCCTACTGACTTATCTGTTGCCACCTCACTGCAACTTTTTACTTTTTTTTTTTTTTTTTTTTGCTTTTTGGTGAAGCAGTTGTGACTTGCCCAGGGTCACCCAGCTAGTAAGTATCAAGTGTCTGAGGCTGGATTTGAACTCAGGTCCTCCTGACTCCAAGGCTGATGCTCTATCCACTGTACCACCTAGCTGCCCCCATTGCAACTTTTTACCATGAATCTCAAGGTTAATTCAATCTACAGAAGTGAGGCAGCACTTCTCCAGTCCTCTACTTGCTAGATGTTAGAATCCAAAGATAAAATAAGATCTGGTCCCTACCCTCAAGAATTTTACAATCTAATGGGGGAAAAGTGCTAAGAATGTAACATGGCATTATAGTAAGGACACTAGACTCTGTGTTAGAGGACCTGGGTTCAAATCCTGATTGTATGACTATGAGCAAACCACTTCTTTCTGGTCTTCTCTGTATTATGGGATTAGATTAGATGATCTCTAAGATTCATCCCAACTCCAAATCCCGTGCTTGGCCAAAAGAAATCAGGGATCTAACAGATTCTCCTTTCCTATCTTTTAGTGAGAAAGTCATTGGAGCAGCAAGTGAAAACGTGAGTAAGACTCTTTTATCTTATTTAACTTTTATCTAACCAAGGTCAGAAATACTGATGAGATAGAACAATCATTATGGGATAATCTTCCCATTTAGAAGGGATAGACTTTAAAGACAGGAACTTTCTACTTTTGAGTGCTGTTTTGATCCTTTTGATAAATCAAGGAGAAAGCTGTTCTTAATCATTTTGTGTTTAATCAGTTTTAACATAAAAAAACCCTTCTTACATGCAGACATTAATGGCAACTACAAACACTTCTGATCTTGAGATTTATATAGGACTTTAAGGTTAACAAAACAAATTTCATGTATTATTTCATTTTATCCATACAACAACAGTGTGATATGTAATATAGGTATTATCCTCATTATACAGATGAGGAAACTGGACTTCAGAGAGGTTAAGGAGATGTCTCCAAGATCACACAGTTAGATTGAACATTTATATTAATATATGTACATACACACACACATAGATAGGTATGTGTATAACATATATACATACAAACATATGTATGCATTTATATATATACATATATGAATGGGCAATCTAGCTCTGTGTGAGAGTGCATGTATATAAGTCTGTGTATATGTATATGTCTATGTATGTGTATATACAAGCATATGCACATACACATTTAGTAAACTACTAAATGAAATAGTACTGTGTCCCTTTTTTTCTGGAGCAGAGCATATGCCTAATTTAACAAATAGTGGAAAGAGTCCTAAATTTAGAATCAAAGTACCGGATTTTAATCTGTGACCCTGCCACTTAATAACTATGATTTGATGAAATCACTTCATTAAGCCTTTCCTTGACTTTAAATAGAGAAAATAATAAAGACCTGTAGAAATGTGATTTATTATCACTATTATTATCGTAGTAGATCCTAACACCACTTCTTTTCTATATCTATTATTTTCCTAGTAAGTGAGCAGTGGTGTAATAGTCCTGCGGCAAAGGGTGGTGTGATTGGGTTAAAGAGTAGTGAGGAGCTAGAATGGCACTAGGGGGCAGCAGAACCCAATTCAGGAAACAAAATCTGAAACAGAATCCCAAAGGGAAGATTTTCTATGGACTCCGTGTAGCCTAGTACCAGAAAAGCGCCCAGGAAGGCCTATAAAGTGCCTATGAAAGTGGATTAGCTGACTGTGACTGTAATCTTATCCTTACAGAATATTTTGCCTACTAACAAAATCATTGCAGAAATCACCATCCCTTGTGCTGTGTTTAGAACACAGCAAAGTTCTTGTGAGAACTACAAACATCTACCTGACTTTAGAGTGAAGTTAAAAGACCTAGGTTTGAATCCCAATTTCCTCTTTCAATTTCCTTACCATTAGGTTCTTAATCTTCTTCTTTTAAGTCTCAGTTGCCTTATATCTAAAATAAGGGGGTTGGACTAATGATGATACCTCAAGTTCTAAAATCCTATAATCCTAGATTGGAATGTGTCACTTGGTGTATTTGGGTGGAAGTTGCAGAGTAAGGCCCAAGAGAGAGTCAGTCATTAAAAGAAATAAATACCATATTTCTTTGAACATAAGAAAATTTTATTTTTTTGTTGAATTGCTTAATTCTTTTTCAGTAGACTAAAAATGTATTGGTTAAGCCCCATTGTTTTAGAAAGTAATCATTCACTCATTCAACAACATTCATTAATTACCATGTGCCAGGTTCTATCCTTAGCACTGGGCATATAAACACAAAACACCCCTTGCCCTCAAGAAGCTTATCCTTTATTAGAAATTAACAACACACACACAGATAAGTAAATACAAAATATATACATTGTACTTTAATCTGTTAATAAACATTTGCTGGCAACTATCTCATAAGAAAAAATGAGGAAAAATAGTGTCTGGATCTCTGGAATTAGGAGGGTAATACAACAAGTATTAAGGACTCACTCTGTGTAGAATACTGTGGTAGGCTATGGAGGAGACAAAAAGTTTAGCTAAAATCTTGTGCCTGAATAAAGAAACAAAACTATCACTCTTTGCAGATAATATGATGGTATACTTAGAGGATCCTAGAGAGTTAGCTGAAAAACTGGTGGAAATAACAACTTTAGCAAAGTTGCAGGATATTAAATAAATCCACATAAATCATCAGCATTTATATATATTACCAACAAAACTCAGCAGCAAGAGATAGAAAGAGAAGTTCCCTTTAAAATAACTGTAGATAATATAAAATACTTGGGAGTCTGTCTACCTGCCAAGACAAACCCAAGAACTATATGAACACGGTTACAAAACACTTTTCACACAAATAACATCAGATCTAAACAACTGGAAAAAATATAAATTGCTCATGGGCAGGCCAAGACAATATAATAAAAATGACAATTTAACCTAAATTAATTTACTTGTTCAGTGCCATGCCAATCAAAAATTATTTTGTAGAGCCAAAAAAAACAAAAACAACAAAATCCATCTAGAAAAACAAAAAGTTAAGAATATCAAGGAAATTAATGAAAACAAATGTGAAGGGAGGTGGCTTAGCTGTACCAGATCTCAAACAGTTTTTTTTATAAAGCAGTAATCATCAAAACTCTCTGGTAGTGGCTAAGAAATCGAGTGATGGATCAATGAAATTAATTAGGTGCACAAGACACAGAAGTCAATGACTATAGTAACCTAGTGTTTGACCAAAGGACCCCAACTTTTGGGACAAGAACTCACTATTTGACAATAACTGCTGGGAAAACTGGAAAACAGTATGACAGCAACTAGTTATAGACCAACATCTTGCACTGTATAGTAAGATAAGGTCAAGATGTATACATACAGGGTGAGACCATAAAGGGTGATAATACCATAAGCAAATTAGGAGAGCAAGGAATAGTTTATCTGTCATGGAGAAGGGAAGAATTTACAACCAAACAAGAACGATAGCATTATGAAATATAAAATGGATAATTTTGATTATATTAAATTAAAAAGGTTTTGCACAAATAAAATCAATGCAACCAAGAGTAGAAGGAAAGCAGAAAGTGGGGAAACAATTTTTACAGTCTTGATAAAGACCTCATTTCTCAAATATATATAGAGAACTGAGTCAAATTTATAAGAATATAAGTCATTCTCCAATTGATAAAAAAGGATATGAACAGGTAGTTTCTAGATGAAGAAATCAAAGCTTTCCATAGTCATATGAAAAAAGTTCTAAATCACTATTGATTAGAGAAATGCAAATTTAAAAACTCTGAGGTACCACCTCACATCTATCAGATTGGATAATGACAGAAAAGAAAAATAATAAATATTGGAGGGGATGTGGAAAAATTGAGACACTAATGCACTGTTGGTAGAGTTGTGAACTGATCCAACCATACTGGAGAGTAATTTGGAACTATGCCTAAAGGACTATCAAACTGCATGCCATTTTTGATCCAGCACTACTAGGGCGGTATCCCAAAGAGATTTTTTTAAGGGCAAAGGACTTATTTGTGCAAAAATATTTATAGCAGCTTTTTTGTGGTGGCAAAGAATTAGAAATTGAGGGGATGCCCATCAATTGGAGAATGGTATATGATTATAATGGAATACTATTGTGCTATAAGAAATGACAAACAGGTTGATTTCAGAAAAAACCTGGAAAGACTTACACAAACTGATGCAAAATGAAGTGAGGAGAACCAGAAAAGCATTGTACACAGTATAGCAATATTATACGATGATCAACTTAGCTATTCTCAGCAATATAATGATCCAAGACCATTCCAAAGGACTCATGGTGAAAAATGCTGTCCACATCCAGAAGAAGAATTGATGGAGTCTGAATGCAGAATTTTTTTTCATTTTTTTCTTTTGGTCTGTTTCTTCTTTCACAACATGACTAATATGGAAATATGTTTTACATGATTGCAAATATATAACCCGTATAAAATTGCTTGTTGTTTAAAGGAGGGGGAAGTGAAGGAAGTGGGGGAAAAATTTGGAACTCAAAGTTTTCTTTAAAAAAAGAATGTTAAAAAAAATAAAAATAAAAAAAGTTTAAAAAATGAATGTTAAAATTGTCTTTACATGTAATTGGGAAAAATCAAATATTTTAAATAAAACTAAAATTCCTCATGGAGTTTAGCATCCATTTATTATATTGACTTTTAATTTATATGTCAATGGGGTGGATTGGTGCAGTCTAATAGATGACATGATAGCTTGGGGGTGAAACTTGATAGGAAATATCTGTGCATGATCCATGGACTGGCTAGAGATCTATTACAGGAACTCTTAAACTGCCTGTAGTTAGTTATTCATGACCTTTAGATACCTCAGTTGTTGTTTTTTTTCCCATCTATTAAGAAGAGAAATAGCCCTTAGTTCTTTTGTACCTCAATATGAAGATGGATTAGACAATGTTTAGTACACTATGAGTAACATGTGATTATTTTTGCCTAGCTTCCTCCTGCTGAGAAAAAGAAGACTTTGTCAGCACATGATTTGGTGAGATTTGGTTCCAGGACCCTCGTGGGGGCCAGAATAGCAAGGTGAGTGTGTTTATAGCAATAAAAGCATAATGGAGAAGTATCCCATGACAGCTCCCACAGCTCTGGACAAATTTCCTCATGAAAATTATGTTTACTACAAATCTCTTCCACTTTGCACTCCCTCTACCTTGTCAGTTCTCTTTTATTCATTGATTCATTCATTTTATTGTGGATATGTTGCTTTTTTTGTTGTACAAAGCATTTTAGTTTGACTGTGTGGCACCTGGGCTCTCCCTTAGACATGAGCCCCAGAAAGCTACCCCAAGTTCACAGCATTTTGTAGCTCAGCCCCCACCCAAAACCATCGCCCCAGTGATGTATGTACTTGTATGAATCAGCCAGAGGACACATTAGTTCAAAGCAAAAGTCATAAACAGTATAGCAAATAAAGTAACAAGAAAAGATCCTCCCATGGCACATACTTTCTTTTTAAAAATTCATTTTATTTTTAGTTTATGGAATAAAACAAACATTTCTGCAACATAGTAGAATTAAAAAGATAATTGCACATGAAACTGCAAATCTATTATGTACAGCTTGCTATCCTTTTTAAATACATAATAAAGTTATCACGTAAATTTCTTCTTTCCCTTTTTAATTCCTTCCTCTACCCTGCTCTAGAGATGGCTACCAATAGACACAATATGTATGTGTGTGTATGTACATACACATATGTATACGTATATATGTATACACACATATATACACACACATATATGTAAAAATTATTCTATACATACTTCTATATATTAGTTCTTTCTCTTAGATGCAGATGTTGTCTTTCTTCATATGTCCTTTATAGTTAATTTGGGTATTTATAATAATCAAAATGACTTATTCACTCAAAGTTGTTCTTAAAACAGTATTGCTTTTACTGTATACAATGTTCTCTTCATTCTGCTCATTTCACTCTTCATTATTTCATGCAAGTTTTTCCGTGTTTTTCTAAGATCATTGAGCTCATCGTTTCTTATAGCACAGTAATATTCCATCACAATCATATACCATAACTTGTTCAGCCATTCCCCAATTGATGGGCATCCCTGCAATTTCCAGTTCCTTGCCACAATAAAGAGAGCTGCTATAAACATTTTAGAACATATATGTTCTTTTCCTTTTTCCCTAATCATCTTTGGAAATAGCCCTGGTAATGTTATTGCTGGGTCAACGGGGATAGGCAGTTTAGTAACTCTTTGGGCATAATTCCAGATTGTTCTTCAAAATGGTTGGATCATTTCACAATTCCACCGAGTCCCATTTTTTCCACATCCCCTCCAACATTTTTCACTTTCCCTTTCAATCATTTTAGCCAATCTAGTAGTTGTAAAATGATATCACAAGGTTGTTTTAATTTGCATTTCTCTAATCAATCATGATATAGAGCATTTTTATATGACTATAAATTGTTTTGATTTATTAATTGGAAAACTGCTTATTCATATCCTTTGACCATTTATCAATTGGGGAGTGGGTGTATACTTTCCCACAGATTATCATACCACCATTGGGGGAGGGCACAGACACAGAGAATATTTGTAAATAAGGGAACATGCAGTTAAGGACTAGATGCCAGACACTCATGTGGCCAGGGCACACTTATAAAGCGTACACATATGTGACCATGGTGCATATGCACAACTCATACTTCTAATGCTGCAGAATGGTTGGTGTCTTCTGGTGATGTCATAACCCTGCTCTCTTATAGACATCAAATTGGGTGCCATTTCCATTTTTTCTACTTATTTGGGAGTTGTCAAATGGTTTTCTGCTTCCATCTGCTGGAACTCAGTTGTTTAAATGCTTCAGACCCATCTCTCAGCTACTGTACACTAAGGTAGTGGCTAAAATGCCACACCCTAACAAGTGTAGGGTGTGTGTGTTTGTGTTGCCATGTCATCCTGTGGTCTTTCTAGATGTGTTTAGTAGGGAGGAATGAATAGCTATTTCTAGAGTCTCCACCTTTCTCCGAGGGAGACTTTGATAACTGCCAGGAGGGGAGCAGAATATATTAGGACCATGTGGCCAGACACTCTGCTCCATTTTCCTATTAATAGTCTAAAGGAAATAATTTTTAGGATCAAGTTGGGCCAATAGCAAACAGAAATCCAAGTAATTATTCAGATGAGACAATACCAGATAATACACAGAATGAATGTTCTCTACCACTGGCAGCAAGATATTTCAATTAAACTAGACAAGGTCCCAGACCTCAAGGAGAAATTTCAGTCTCTAGAATGGTAAGTGAGGATAGCTTGATTGAGATACCAGTTCCTCTATGAGAATCTGGTAGCCTTCATTTAGAAGCTGGAAGCCAGAAAACCAGGTGTTGAGTAATCATTCTCCATCAATGAAGAGAGTCTTATGTAAATAACCTTGAGTCCCTGCACTTAGAGTACATAGGCTATAAGCTACTATACCTAGCCAGGCAGCAAGTCAAAGCTAGTAGATATCTCCAAGATCTATTGTTTGGACTGATTTTGCATCTCTGAATCTCCTCCAACTTCTACAGTTGGACTGTCCTCTGAATTTTGGGGAAATATCCTTATTAATTCTTATTAGACTATATCCTCATCCTTTCAGCCCCGTCTCCCTGACCATCTGTTGTCCCAGCAAATATTTCTAGGGCTTCACTTTAGCAGACACAAAGGAGCTGGTTTAGGCTGTTGTGAAAGATTGCTTCCAAAGCCCACCCTCCTCCTCATCATGTCCTCTTGTTTTATGCAGATCACTGGCCCTCAACTAGATGGAGAAGCCTCAAAAGGGCTGGCAAACTTTTTATTGCTTCCTCCAATAGCAAAGTCATTGTTTTTTGTTGCTCACTGCCTTTTTGTGCTGTATTTTGTCAGCACAAAAGCTCTGGTCTCTCCATACTTAATCAAATCTACATATTTTGGTACCCATAATTTCTTCTATTTGTCCAATAAATAGATTTCCTTGCACTCCACAATTATGAGATATATTCATCAATTTTTTAAATATATGATTTTTATATTAATATACATGAAATTATATCATATGATATGAGATGTATTCTAATCCCATTATTCATCAAATGACTATACAATTCTCCCCATGTTTTTTAGTTAATTATTATCCAAGCATCAAGAATTATTGCTATAAGTGAGGAAATTGAGGCTTAGCAAGGTCAAACAACTTCCCAAAGTTCACATAGCTAAAAAATATGGGAGCCAGATCTTTTGACTTCAAGTTCAGGGCTCTTTCCACTATGATATGTTAAATATATAAAACAGCTGACATTTGTTATTTAGCACAAAAGGATGGGAAGAGATTCATATTGTAAATGTGGTCATTTTACTTTTACTGGTGTTATGAACTCAACAAAAGTGGCTAGGTGATCACTTAACTGCCTCCCCACTTATATAGTCTTTAGGGCAGACATATAACTGGATAACTTTTCATTTGTATGTTTGACATTGAGCATATCTAAAGTGTTGTGTTTACTTATGAGTAAACATTTTAGAAAGGTCACTTGATAAACAGTTACCTATCCAGGGATGGGTGACCAGGATGCTGAAGGGACTCACAACCACCACCATACAAGGGTCATTTGAAAGAATTGTCAATATTTATTCCCAAGAAGAGTAGATTTAGGAGAAATCATGAAAGCTGACTTCATGTTCTTGGAGCCCTGACATGTAGAAGGGGTAGCAGACTTATTCTGCTTGATCTTGTATGGCAAAACTTTGAACAATGGGTAGAAGATATAGGAAGGCATATTACAGCTTGACATAAGGAAAAGTTTCCTAACAATTAGAGCCATGTAACCACAGAATGATCTGCCTTGAGGCACAATGATATCTGTCCCTAGACTCTCTCAAGCAAAAGCTGGACGACCGCTGGTTGGGGAAGACATAGAGTAGGTATTCCTGTTTCGTGTGGGAGTTTGGCAAGATGGTATCTGAGGTTCCTTCAAAGTCTAAAATCACTGAGTTTATCCTTAGGTTCTAGTCTTCGCTTGTCACTACATCCCTCTCAGACTCATTTTCCTATTCTGTAAAATGGCAGGGTTAAATCACATGATCTCTTAGGGTCCTTCAATCTCTAACATTCTGTGGTTTTATGGCTCTTTGAATGGAAGTCTGTAATAAAGAAACTGAAAGTGGAGTGACTGGCAGTGTGAGTGGATGGATGGCTGATCAAATAGAATAGACAGCCTGGGATTGTGTATGGCCACAGAGAGTCCCACCTAATCTTAGATTTGGTCAGGATTGCTTTATTAAGTACCAGTTTCCATTAGAAACAAGGCATCAACCCTTGAATTCATTGCCGTCTCTCAAGTGTATAGCATCAGCATGTTTGGGGGGAAGAGTTGAAATTGTAATGATTTCTAGAATCTAGGTGTTTGTGCTTGTGTGCTAAGTGTTGTATATTGAGAGAGGAAGGATATACTCAGAAATAGAGGAAAAGCAAAAGTTTTCAATAAAAATCGTTTTAAAAATATTGGACCAATAGAGGCTGTGGAGATGGGGATGGAGAAGGTATAGTGTGGGCTTACTTTGGAGCCTAGAGTCATGGCTCTCCTGGACATCCGTCACATCATCTATGCCTACTGCTCCAAGGTTTCACCACTGCCTGCTGCTACTTCGCTTATAGTACAGAATTTCTACCCTGTCTTCAGAGGCTATAGCTCTGGATAGAAATTGTTCTATCCGCAGCACAAACCAAGGTGCTTAGATTGATTAAAGAACCAGTGATTGATCAAACAACTCATTTGGTGGTACTTAAAACAGCCTCCTGATTCTATCAGTTGTCCCACTTTTCATCTTTTTCCCCCTGATGTGTAGATGTTTCCCCAGAGTACCAGTCACTCTACCACTGTTTTCCTTGTTCCTGATTCTGAGAAAGTTTGTATATATTTGTGTGCCCCATTTACTGCTTCAATGAAATGAAATGTATTGAGATGCTCTGGGTGCCCAGATAGTTGCAATAAATTTTAATGCTATGGATTTGTGACCTCAATCTTGTGTGGAGGCATTCTCTACTAGTTCATATCATAACCTCTTCCCAAATTTTCATCTTGTGTAATTCTTTGTCTTTTGACACATCATTCACCTGTATATGCTGGAGTGCTTCCCCTGATTATTTTCATATTTCAGGATTACTAATATATCACTCCAACCAGACTTCCATTGTTTCTGATTCTCACCTGAGGGTAGCCTACAAGTTCTTGATCATATCTCTAATGAGGTAAATTTCTTCTCCACCTTGTGTCTCCTTGGCAAAATCTATATTCTCCAGATGTGATGTAAATCTACCTTAGACTGAGTACTCATTGCCCAACTGACAAGGTCTTTGTTCTGGCCCTAAACTCAAGTTCATTTTTAGTTAATACACCTCGATCTTTGAAAGAAGGACTACATAGAGATAGAGGTCCAACAGAAATACAGAGAAGGTCTTCACACATTTGGACTCAGTTCCTTGGAGAAAGGTCTTTGCATTTATGTTGCCTCTACAAGGAACCATGTAGTGCTTCTTGTAGGGGAAGAACTAGTATAAGATGGAGAATTGGAAATAAGGAAAGAGGGAAGAAGCTTATAACAAACAGATGCAAAGGAAGAAGAATTGGCATGTCATGGAGCACTATTTTTGAAGAACAAATCAGGCTTATTCCTTTGCTGGTATTTTGAGTTATAGGGACTATAGAATTATTTGATTCTTTAATAACCCTGAGATCCTTGCCTATGCAAAAGGGCCCCACCTAAGTTAGTACTGTAATTTGGAAGGATATGATTGATTGAAGCCCATCAGAGGTGGAAGAACAGCTCTGACTTGTGTGTGTGTGAGAGTGTGAGTTTGTGTGTATGTGTGTGTGTGTGTGTGTACCCTAGGATTCTATACCAAAATTCTGGAGGCCTACATGGGTCTCCTGGGAAGGAAGAAACCCAGTGATAAGGGATAGGGAGTTTTCTTGGCTGTATATTGGGCTTAGGTGTGAGCCCTCTCTGCCTTATTTTATTGGGTTAAACAAAATCAGTTCTATGTTTAATGTTTTGTTATCCTGAATGTTTGCATAGGTGTTAAGGGCCCCTTTAGACTTAAGTAAAATTCTGATTTTCTCAGGGGAAATTTTGGGTGATGTTATAAGCCTAAAATTTTATCGTTGAGAAGCCCCTAAAATCAAACCTGGTCTGTGTGAGCTGAGGATTTTGGCAATGGGACCGTGAGTTACACACTATATAGTCTTCATCTTCCTGTCTACCGCATCCACTCTATCGGCACATCTACCAAGTAGCTTCTTATCCCTAACTATTCCATATGTATCTAGAAACTGAGGAAATACAATCAGTTCATTTTGCCCATAAGTCTCCTAAACTCAAAAACCTCTTATAGTCAAATGAGCCAGTCTTTGGATATTGCAGAAATTCCTATCTGGGCCTATCATAAAGATACAGTAAGATAAATCCCATCTCTCCATGCCCACTGGGGTGAGATCTTTGTCTGATCCAATGGTTTTTATTTAATTCTGACTTTGTCTATCTAAGAGGTCAAATGGAAGAACATTTTCCCACAGGGCATGTTATACCACTTGCTTTCTGGTGTCACTGGTCCTGTGTTTCCTTCATAGTCCATTTGGCAGAGAAGTAGAGAAGAAAATAAGGAAGATGGACTAAATGTCTCTAAGGTCTCATCCAGTTCTGTTATCCTGTGAGATAGGATGATAAGGTTTAGAGCTGGAAGAAACACTAAAATCACCTTCCCTCCCCTCCCTCTTTTATAGATGAAGACATCGAGACCTGAAGTGATTAAATGACTTGTCTCGATGCATGTAGTAAGTAGTGCAATCAGGATTTGAATACAAGCCCTGGGCTCTCCACTATAAATCCAGTTTTTTCTCTATAATACGCCACTGCCTCTTGGCATCATCCCTACCCCAAGTTGCCCTTCCTTGAGCTAGCCTCTATCTCAAAGGCTTATTCACTTCAGCTTTTGACTTGACATCAATTTTCATATATCTATGTATATATAACACACATAACATATACATACATATCATATACACATGTGTGTATATAAATATGTGTATGTGTATATGGATGCTTTTGTGTGTTTAAAAAAATCTTTCTTTTATTTCTATAGGGAGGAAGAGATGGGAGCAGTTCGAGTCAAGAAGGTAAGTGAGAATCTTTAAATACTTAAAATCCAGTATCTCTTAATCTTTAAATTACTTTTTAAACTAGAAGAGTAGGATGAGGTAAGGAAGAATATATTAGTTGCTCTTCAGTTTCTGGTGTCTAAAGGCAGTAAAAGTAAAGTAGGATAAAGGAGCATGAATTGAGGAGGATAGAAGATTGCATATTCTAATAATTCGGGTTTGATCACAGGAACTTTGGCCCATCTTGGAAGATATTGCATTGCCAACAGCATTGACCAAGGGCATACTCTTTCCCCAGCCACAACTATCCCCATAGGGGCAACTTTATCTGGTGTGGCTTCCTTCACTTTCAGACAGCTTTGAAACCTCATGGTGTTCTGGAATATATTTTTCCCACTAGGTGCTGTACTCCAGGTATAATTATTACCCTGCTTCCCCACAGACTACAAAATGTCTCAGGTACAAAAAGTTTCAGTTCCAGTTTGTCTTAGTCTTATCTTATGAACCATTTTATTTTCTCCTTGTAAATTCCAGAATAATGATCATTCTATTGGTCATCCATGCCTTAGGTACATGACCTGCCTCTAGTGTTCCTGTGACCTATGAAAAAACAGCCCAGAACCTTGTGCTCCAAGATCCTGGACTAGGGACTAAGAATTCACTTTTATGTAGCACATTAGCTAAGGGTTATGAAGTGCTTTCCTTATGACACCTTTTGAGGGTAGGAAGTGTGAAAACATTATTATGCCCATTTCAAAGATGAGGAAACTAAGATCCAGAGAGAAGATTAATGCTTGCCTTGCCTATTTCATAGCATCATTTTGAGGAAATTTCCTTGCAAACTGTCAATCTCTATATAAAGGTTAGCCATCTCAGGCTGCATCTAACTCATTTTTGACCAAATTTTTTAAAAAGTTTAATGAATCAAAACAGTTATTTAGCACCAGGCAGACACCTCCCTCTCATTTAAAAAAAATAAATTTTTTTGCTTTTGAAACTGAATTCAGTCAAATTAATTGTGCATGTGCACATAGCCTCAGTCTAGAGATAGCTTTGTTTCTTTTAAAATGCTTACAATAAGTCATTTTCAATGATGTAATTGTCATCTTACCAGGAGAAAGAGAATAAACCTATCATTTTAACACACAACTTGGTGAGATTCAGCTCAAGAACCATAGTAGGGGCCATAAAAGCATCAGCTGTCACTGAATGGTAAGTAGTTCCTGTCACACAAAAATATAAGGGAAAAGCTTCCGAACATATATTGAGGGGATACAAAAAGGGATATGATGCAAATTATGCCTTTTTCACCATTGTGTATTGTCAAGCATCTTCCCAATGAACAATTCCAAGCAGGACTCTGAAAGGACATGTTTGTATTGTTGAGCTCTGCATGCTATGGGGGTTTGATAAAATAATTTGGTTTTCCTCTTCTCAGTATTTCATAATCTATTAAAAGTACTATAAATATTCTAATGGTGTTCCCTGTCCTCTTTGTCCAGGGAAGAGGTATCTGGCACCCAACATGAGAAGAAGGTAAGTGACAATGCTAAATAGTTTAAACCTGATTTTCAAATTGGATCTTATGCCCAGATAAAAGTGTTAAAATATATAGGTTAAGGAAAAAGAAATGTTCAAGTAAAATTTAACCTAACACAATGAATGTGCCTTCCTGGAGAGGAAAGAGAGCTCTGTAGCCCTTGTCCCTTTTGAATATTCCTGTTAAGTATGCTGTTCTAATATATTCTCTTCTATGTATACATCTCCCAAAGATAGGGGAGTAGCTACCTTAGGATTTCGTAAAGAGAAGATGGCACCCACCTCCTAACAGAGAAGGGATGGATGCAGGTGCAGATTGAGACATATATTGCTTTGGCCTTGGACAATGTGGGAATTTGCTTTGCTTGATTATATATATCTGTTAAAAAGATTTTTTTAAATGTGGGGGAGTTGGGGAAGGAGAGAAAATAGGTTTTTGTTCATTGAAAATAAATTTAAAAGTAAAAATCATATTTTACATTAAAAAAGATAAAGCTTCAAAGGCAATAGGTGTATGAAAGAATTGTTCAGTCCTCACCCACTATGGGGTGCCTATAGAGGGAGAGAAGATAGTGGGTGGAGAAAGTGCATGGCCTAAGCTGTGATACAGCAAGTAATGAGAATGCTATGTCGTGGTCAAACCATAGAATTTACCGGTATCAGCAAATCCAGAAGGAGTTATGAAAGTGTGGTCAGAGCCCCAGTCAAAGGGTATTGGAAATTGGCCCATAGTAGGTCTAGTAATCCTTTGGAGGAGAAACAAGCATAAAGTCTTAGAAAACGACAATTTATCTCATGGAAAATCTTTGTATTTATGTGCATGTGTTTATTGGTGGCAGCATGCTAGCCTGGTCCCTTCCATACTCAGCTGCATTGGCATCACTATTGTTCAGACATCAAGTATCAGGAATGTGCTCAATTAAATTCAGCGAATATTTAATAAGCTTAGAGAACTATCTGAAGCAATGGGGAGATTGAATGTCATTTGTTCATAGGGCAAGTCCATTTACGTGGGTTACTACACATTATTTAGTTATACCTATTTGGTTATATTAATAAAATGTGGTGTGATTGTGGGCCATTGACTAGAATTTGTGAATGCTTTGTGGTTGCACAGTCATTGTCCTTAAATGGGATTTGTTGTATAGATTAAGTGTAGCCTGTAATTTCGAATGTTGGCATGTACTATGAATAATATGTCTTCCAAAGGGCAATGTGGAGTAGGGGGTAGAGTGTAAGACTTGAAGTCAAAGAGATCTAGGTTCAAATCCTTCTTCAGATACTTTCTAGTAAGTCATTTTGCATCTATCTCCTCCAAGTACAGCTAGGTAGCTCAGTGAATAGAGTGCCGGCCCTGGAATCAGGAAGACCTGGGCTCAAATCCAGCCTCAGACACTAGCTATGTTTACCCTGTTTGCCTCAATTTTCTCAGGGCAAGCCACTCCATTGTCTTTGCAAAGAAAACCCCAAATGGGGTCACAAAGAGTTGGACACAACTGAAACAAATGAACAACAAAATTACTGGTTACAAAGTGCTTTGTGTATCTCATTTGAGCCTCTCTACAGCCACATGAGTACAAGGGTTATCTTATCTTAAAGATGAAGAAACTGAGTCTCAGAAAAGTAAGATGACAAGCTAAGGATGGCAGAGTCCACTGGGCACCTTCATTGGACCATGAGCAACCTCTGGGTCACAATTCCAGCTTTCTCTTGAAACTTTTCATATTATTCAATCAGCAAACATTCATTAAATAACTATTTTGTGCTAAGCACAATACTAGGTGCTAGAGATACAAAGACAGAAAGAAAAAAAAAAATCCTTGTCTTCAAGGAGATTATGACTGTCTATTGGGGAAGAAAACATGCCTACGTAAGGAAAATGGAAATATATACAAAGCATTTGCTGGAGGGGAGGACACACGTTTACTAACAGTTTGAAGGATAGCTTGTTTACAGTAGAAGGATTCCAAAGGGCACAGTGGAAGGGTAAAGCAAATGGGGAAGAACACAAAAGGGCTAGTACTGACACAGATGGACATAATTATGGGAGCATGGAAAAGAGTTATTGCCTACCCTGTCTACAAGTCAGAAGCCCAAGGATATACTATAGAGCTATAGGGCAGTAGATTTGTCCTACCCTTCATGGTAGCAAAGGTACTGTTGAGCTGAAAGATTAATCCCTGAGGAATATAGGGAAGGTAAGAAGAGAAGGAGATTCCCATTCAGTGATAGATCAGATGGCCTTGGTCTAAGGCAGCAATCACGAAAGCCTGGGACCAAGATGGCACATTTGATGTATTATATTAGGGATATGAAATGCATTAACATGAATGAAAGCTTTTTATGTGAGTTCAAGATGTTGTAAAATGAGGAAGCTTGATTGCTTTCTCCAGTTCTCAATCATTTTTTCTTTCTTTTTTTGTTTTTTTTTTGTTTGTTTTGTTTTAGGCAATTGGGGTTAAGTGACTTGCCCAGGGTCATACAGCTAGTAAGTGTCAAGTGTTTGGTCTGAGGCTGTATTTGAACTCAGGTCCTCCTGACTTCAGGGCTGGTGCTCTATCCACTGTGCCACCTAGCTGCCCCTCAATCATTATTTCTTAATGAGGAAGGAAGACCCCAAGATTTATATTCAAGGTTTGACTCCCTCACTACCAGATTCAGTTGAACACACATAACAAACAGCAAATAAATCCATTTATCCAAGTCAATAGCAGAAATAAAATATATAGAGGAAAATACATACCAGATAATACAGAGTAAATGAGCCCTCCCTTTGGGAGCAAGATAACTCATTACAACTAAGAGAGAGAGAGTCTCAGACTTGCCCAAAGGGAAATTCCCTGCAGTCTCTGATGTAGTAAGCTGAGGACAGGGAACTGATAGAGATGGTTTGCTTTTTCCCCAGAATATTTCTCCCTTCATGGACCTGAAGAAAAGTTGGAATCATGCATCTGATGGAGATGAATCTGATGACCCTCCGATGGAGGTGCTCATAGGTTTTTCCTTTGGGAATTCCCTTGGGATATGAAGGTTAACTCAGATTCTAAAGGGAAGAAAGGAATAAACTTCCAATATACAACAATCCTAAGATGGGGAAAAAAATCTCAGTTATGAATATAGCTATGTATAAATCTTGTATATGTGATTATTCTCTAGCAAATGACATTACTCTCCAATGTGACATCATCTACTTTAAATCTCAGGAAATCAGGGGGAGAGGCACATGGTTTTTCATGCCTCAGAAGTAACTTGCCCCTCCTCTAAGTTAATGGTTTCTAATCATTTTTGATTGTACACCCTTATCAGTAAAAAAAATTTGAGCATGCATCTTGAATATGTATATAATTACTTATAATGCTTATAGATTGTGTATATGTACTACTGTGTTGATAATTATTTATACCATAAGGATGAGATAAGACCAAAATAATATTTGATTTCACTGGAGTTTCTAGGAATAGGGAAATGACATGGTCAGACCTGAGCTTTACAAAAATCACTTTGGCAGCAGTGTGGAGGATGAGTTGGAAACAGGAGAAGAATGAGATAGGGAGACAATTAGGAGGCTACTGCATAGTCCAGGTAAGGGATGATGAAGGCCTGAACTAGAGTCATGGCAGTGAGTAGAGAGAAGGGGACAGATGGGAGAGATGTGGAGGTAGAAACAAGATTTGGCAATGGATGTGAAAATGTAAGGAGTCAAAGATGACACTGAGGTTGTGAACCTGAATGACTGGAAGGATGGTAGTATCCTTATTTGTCATAGGAAATTTAGAAAAAGAAAGGATTTGGGGGGGGGGAAGGTCATGTAAGGATTTTTGTAATTTGCCATAATGTATTGGTGTCTACTCATCCTGTGCAACTTTCTCTGACCCACTCAGAATTTAAAAAGCAGAGAAGTGAGATTTTTGCTCATCAGTTGCTCCCCCAGAACACAGAATCCACCATCTAAGGGGCCTTTGCTGAAGTCATGAAATGACATGGGGTAGGGGGATAGGGGTTGGGTACACTAGGGAGGATGGGTGGGAATTCTCCCAATGGTATCTGCTCAGTTCAAAAACTGAAGATTGGTAGTTTCCATGCAGAAGGAAGTGGGAGGAAAGAGAGAGTGGGAAGTGACCCAGTTTCCTCCCCCCAGATTAGTTGTTTGCATCTTCTTGGGGTAAGACCACTGCCTCCACTTTGGAGACCACTGCTGCAAGTCAGGAAGTAATATCCTAGGGACTGATGGTGTGTTGGACCTTGATCACCTGAACGCAACTTACCTGCTGAAGAAATAGGAGTCGTCTTCTGTTTAGTGATGTTAAGATTTATCTTGCCTTATTTCAATCTTATTCAGGGCCTTCAAGTTAACATAGAACATACTTCTGAATCTCGGTGCATCCAGTTTATTCTGAGAAGCCATCAACCTGCCATAATCTAGTTTTCATGACTGGTTTACAGTAAAAGGCTGGCAACTGCCATGCTGTGTACCAGGTGTTGTGACACTTTAAAATCTACTATCTATAAAAGATTTGGCAAAGCATGCAAAACACATTTTAAATACCATAGAGACATAAAAAAAACCAGCACTGAATATTAATGACATTAAATATCTTTTTTTCTTTTAGCTTTTCCTTCAACTTGCAAGCTTCATCAACTCAGTTTACCTTAAAAGGATGTTTTGTTATAGTTACATATTTTCAATATGAGTAATATTGTTATTGCTCTAAATATGATCAAATTGTGTGAGAGGCAGTGTAGTACAGTAGGAAGATTGTTGAACTTGAAGTCATAGTACCTAAGTTTGAATCCCAATCTTATGACTTACTATATTTGTGATTTTGGGCAAGTTCCCTCTTTGGTTAATATTTTAATTTAAGGTCAATTATTTTAGTTTATGGCCATTCATTTGTCTAATCACTGTTATTTTCCCAACCTCAGGTTTTATCTGTTATCATAGTTCTATTCAGAAAAAAAATGTTCATCCCACAAATACTAGATTACTCTTCCTTCATTATTCTAGTCCAGCGTTAGGTCTCACTTCCTCCCCAAAGCCTTATATGAGTTAGGTAGATCTGAAGTATGGGATCCTATTTAACTTTAATACCATAGAGACAATCACACTCCATTATGAAGCAGCCTGGGGTTGTTTGTCTGTTCTTGAAGAGGATCAATGACATCAGGAGGGTGATGTCTTGACTTACAAATGAATTGGATTTAAGCAAGGCAGGGCTGTGCAAAATCATTAGCCTCACTCTCTCCTCCAGTCATTGGAGCCCAGTGGCGAGACATAGGTCAGGACGACTGGCGATGGTCCTGGATACAGTGGGAGACTTGGTGCATGAACAGAGCAACACAACTTGAAATCAGGAAGATCTGAGTTCAAATCCAATCTCAAGACACTTACTAGCTTTGTGATCCTGGGCAAACCACTTAACTTCTGTTTGCAATGGGGCCAATGATAGCACCTACCTTACAGGGTTGTTTTGAACATCAAATAAGATGTTTATTTAAAAAAAAAAGTGCCTAGCACAGCGCCTGGTACATAATAGGCTCTAAATAAATGCTTATTCCTTATTCCTTTCCCATTATGGGTATCAATGATCATTATACCATCTAAGAATCTGTTTATTCATTTAGTTCAACTCAAAGTCCATGTGAAGGTAGGCTGAAGGAAGTAGGGCTGCTTATTAGGAAAGTAAGCACCCAGAGAAGAACCAGGAGGAATAGATGGAAGTTACAGAGAGGTAGATTTAGGCTTTATGTAAGGACAACAGGCAAAGAATTGAAGCTGTCTGAAAGAAGAAATGAACATCTCAAAAGGTAATGGATTACCCTTTAATAGTGGTCATCTAAATGAATGTAACCATTTCTACTAGCTGTGTGACCCTGGGCAAGTCACTTAACCCCATTGCCTAACCAGAAGAACAAAAAACCAAAAACACAAAAAACAATTTCTACAATGTACCAAGGTTGGTTTCATATGTTCTCTATTTAATTCTCTGAGCTCTCATTTGTCCCTCTGTGAATTCTCACAGACCAGTCAACACTAATCACAGTACAACTTGATAGTGAAAAGAGGATAATTTACTTAAGATAGAAATGTGAGGGGTAGCTGTATTAGGAAAATGTATTAAGCTGCAAACACTGTTAACACCCATTTCTCAAAGCAAATTACCTCCCATCCTCTGGAGACAGAAGGTTGGTAGTCTACCCCTGTCCTTGTCCTTCACTACTTCTACCACCCAACATGGGACAGCAGGAATTAGTGGGTTAAAACCTTGCCCATTGATGACCACAAATGGTGATTTGTGATTTGATAAAGATATACAGAGGAAAGAGCCAAGATGGTGAAGAGCCTTGAATTCATGCCATGTAAGAACTGGTTGAATGAAATAGGTATGTTTTCTGGAGAAGACTTCGATTAAAAAACTATGGAATTAACTAGATGCAAGGCATATACAAAAAGCAAAAAATTGTCTCTCAAGGAACTTATATTCTACTAGAGTTGGGGATGCTGGTCACATTATATGATAGTTGTATTAATATTTTATTTTTTATTCTAAACTTCACAAACACTAATTTTCCAACTACAAAAGAGAATGGAAAAAGAGAGACTATATGAAACTATAACAGAATATATGAAACTCTATTACAAATATCTTGAGGGGTTTTTAGCATACAATAAATTCTGTTTGTTTCAAAGCTGTCCTGTTTGTTGGGTTTTCTTTTTGAACTTCCTTCTCTTCTGTGCATTTCTTTAAATTTACTTCAATGACCCTATTTTTTTCTTTTGCATTACTAATAAATTAGTCCCACAAAATCCCCTCCCCCTTAAAAATACCCTCCCTTGTAACAAATAAGCATAGTCAAGCAAAACACAACATATCCACACGTTGCCCATTTTCGAAAACATATGTCTCAATGTGTACGAGTCCATCACCTCCCAAGGTCTAGGGGACAATGATGGTGTTGATGCTTCATCATTGGTCCCTTTGAGTTGTGGTTGGTCATTGATCAGAGTTCTTAAGTCTTTCAAAAGTTGTTTTTCTTTACAATATTGTAGTTACTATATAAATTGTTTTCCTGGTTCTTCTTACTCTGCATCAGTTCATATAAGTTTTCTCAGATTTCTCTGAACTGATCCCTTTCAGCATTTTTTTATGGTGAAATAATCCATTACATCTGTATACCGTAATTTGTTGTGCCATCCCCCAATTGATGGACATCTCTTTAATTTCCAGTTCTTTTTCACAACAACAAAAGTAAATGAGTTGGATGAAATGAAATGACATTATATTTCAGCCTAAGACAAACTGGACACTGAGGAAAGACAGTTTCAAAGACTATACAAGAGATTGTCAGAAAGCTACAGCACACCTCAGGAGAACTTCAGGAGAGCCCCCTGAAGGAGAATAAAGCCTTCTAGCAAAAGGTCTTCCAGGAGAGCTATGTTATCCTTTGCTACAATGCATTCCAAATTTGAATAATCTTTCCTCTGGACTCCATATATACTTGTGGAATAGTGAGCTCTGTTTGGTTAAGGGTTTTTTTTCTTTTTTTTTTTTGAGGGGGTGAGGAGGGATATTTTGTACCAACTGTTAATCTGGTAACTGTATCATAACAACTAATTAAATCTGCCTGGCTAATTAATATTAATGAGGATAGCACATCAGTGGGAACTTGTGAACTATAGTACTAGAAAACTACCCCCAATCCTTCAGGGTTTCCCCTAGATCTCCTCTGTAGGCATTCAATCTACCAGTGCAAAGGGGGAGGGGGAGTTGGTAGAGTGATCCCAGAGCATATATCATACACTAAGGGGAACCTTCCCATTGCGTAGAACTGAGAAGGGCCAGAAGCCCTGGGGGTCTCCATGTTACCTGGCAGCCTCTTCTGGGGAATTTCTCTCTTCAAAACCTGAAGCAGGACCTTTGAAAAATGAAACATAACAAAGAGAAAAAGGCGAAGAACATTTGCCCAGAGAATTACTTTCACTGCTTTGTAGCCTGTGAGAGGCATATCTCTGCTTTCTGTTTATAGTACTTTTTATTGCATTGACAGGTTGCTTCCAAGCAGGCCTGAATCTGGCTAGCTTCTAGAAGGACAGTGAAAGTAAGAGGTAGGGTGAAGTGAGAGATGGGAGAAGAGGGAAGTCTTGATAGCTGAGAGATGGGGAATATGAAATCGAGAAACTGGTATTTTGTTCCCCCAAGGCTCTTTGACTGACGGAGCCTGGTAGTTCACCATATAGAGCTATCACCGCTTGAGTGGGAAGGGAAGCCAGCTAGAGGACTCATAGGACCATCTCACAGTATAAAAAGTGATTCAAGTACATGGAAA